GTGGAGTGTCACTTATACATATGGAAAGTTATGAGCCAAAGTATGAACTATATGAGATTTTGGCTCTAGTTTAGGCCTACGCCCAGATGATCACTCCCTACACGGGGTATTGGTCCTTGACTTCAGAAACACCCCCTGCTGGGGAACTACAAATTGGGTTGTTAGGCCTAAGAAAAGTTAAATTGAAGAATTCTCCCATTTTAACATCAGTACCACCTGGGGAGACCCATGCCCTTTCGCTCTGAAACTTGATCTGCAAACCCAAGGCTGATTGGCAAGTACTTTAACCCTTTAACCTTCTTTCTGTTACCTCTTTGCTGTGCTGTTGTTCTATATTTATATAGATATATTGGTTACATCTTTTTCTGTAAATATTTTTATTGCACCCGTTTGACCTTTTAGTAATAAATCTTTCCTTTTGAAAGTGTTGAACTGTTTCTATAGCTCTTTATTGTAATTTACGAATTTCTGCCTCTAAAAAGAGCGCTACTGTGTTTGTTTTAACCCTCTGTATAACCGGCCTGCGGTGACCTTGCTATACCAATTATCTCAACCTTTATAGTGTTATAGCTGATATTGAGTTTCCTCTTTCTCTGTACAAAAAGGAGGTGGTGGCAGTGTGAAGGGTTAATTGCATAATTAACCTGACCCAGTAACAATCGCTCAGGCTGCCGGTACATAGATTGTGGTCCAATTAGCTGGAAAATCGTTGTGCAGGGTACAGCTGGGTGTGGCATTGTTACGCACGTGACATCACGGTTTTAGATTGGCTAGTCCTTCGGTCACAAGTTTGGTGAGAAGGGCTGATTCTGACGCCGCGATCGTCACATATTGGTGACGGCGATCATGCGTCCGTCACACCCCCGGGTACAGAAAGAGGTCTATCAGATGCCTCCTGGGTTCCACTTGGGGATTCAGAAAGAGAAAACAGGAACACCAATTGCTTAGTCTCTCTCTCTCTTATTATCACCCTCCAGGGCTTTAACATATAGTTCACTAGGGGAGGGGGGGATTGGGGTAACCTCGGTCTGACCAGGCTGACCCGACATGATCCATGTGAACGTGTCCCATAGGAAATCATATTAAATGGTCTGTAGTGCGTTTCTGCGAAACCCTGCGGAAATTGCTTAGGTGTGAACCTAGACTTAGGATTTCCCTTCAGGAGTATCTCGCCAGAAATTACTTTTTTTTTTTTTTTCAGGGGATGCCTAAAATCTGACTTGTACCTTCTGGGAAAATCAGTGAGCCAATCACACAAGCAGGAAATGATATTGCTGGGGGGGGGGCGTTCTGTACACATTTTTTGTACAGAGCACCTCCCAGGTATCCATATTGCAATGCATTTTACAGAAAAATAGAGCTGCTGATTGAATAGGAATAGCAGAAGGCTCTGTCTCCCATCAAGTGTAGGTAAGTAGGGGACACACACAGCAGACCAGCATTTGAGGAGCGGAAGTTGTGAGAGAGGAGTAAGTGGATCAAAGTTCATACAGATAATGGGGTGCCAAGCCATGAAGAGCTTTAAAGGCAAAGCAAGAGGATCTTAAAGTGTTACTAAACCCAGGACTCTGCATTCACTATATCTGGTCTCCCACAGTACACACAACATGGAAATGCAGTTATTTTAGTAAATATAAACTGCTAAGACTGGGAGGCAGCACAGTGCTGGATGGAGGGCAGGAGCTGCCCCAGTGAACTGATTGGGTGCTAGGATGCAGACGATTCTAGCAACCAATCATGGGTTGACAGGAAAAAGTTGTGCAACTCCACCCCTTCATCCAAAACTGCCCTTCCCTCCAGATGTCAGCTTTAGACCTGCCTTGCCTCCCACCCTGTGTAACGTAGGACTGGGAGGGGGCTATGTCCCTGCTGAAGGACTGGGGAAGGGGGGAGAAGCTGTGGGTGATATGAAGGGGGTCTGGAGACTGCAATATGAAAGGGGGTAAATACAGAAATGTGAAGGAGGGTGATATTAAAGGGGTTGGGCACTGCAGTGTGAAGGAGGCTGATATAAAAGGGGGATGAGGAAAAGAATGTGAACGGGGAGTGATATGAAGGAGGGGCCCAAGGACAGGAATGTGAAGGGGGGCCAAGGTTAGCAATGTAAAGGGGGCTGAGGACTGTAATGTGAAGGGGAACTGATGTCAAGTTTGCAAATGTGATGCAAAGGGGGCAGGATGTTTATGTGAAAGGGGGCTGTGATATAACGGGGGGGGGGGGGGGGGGGGGTTGTGATGTACAGGGGGGACTGAGAACACTGATGTAATAACAGGATTGGAATAGTCAGGATCTGAGGCTAGGTTCACATCATTATGTTCTGCATTCTGCGTGTAGACCGCCCATTCATTTCAGTGGGCTGCCCTATATGCAGACACACACAAAAAGAAGTCCCTGACCCTTATTTTAAATTGTTCTATACCAAGCTACATTGTGCTGTGGCACCATGCGGTTTGGCATTTGTGAAAACGTGCTGCATTTGCCAATGCACAGAGGTGCATTAAGAATCAAACTTGATTCAGACCTCTGCAGGGTGAAAATGTTACTTACTGGACCTCCATGAATTTTAATTCAATGCCCCATGTCTAGTAGCATGCAACTGTATCTCATTCTAGATCCACAAGGTGGCGCTGATAGATTTACATTTTCAGACCATATGCTGTATGCATGTTTTGTATATACAAGTGCATTTGAACTACTACAGTGATTGTAATAGTATTCACCAGTTCACAACAGCAACTGAGAATATGTAGACTTGGTAATTTAATAACCAGAGGAACATGATATGTTAGGCAACCAGTTTTGGTGTAGAGGGATCTGATTTAGAAAACCTGGACATACAGTTCTTCATTTGAGACAGAGGAAGGTGGGGTCAAATTTGAAATACTTGTCTTGTTCTAGACAGAATATTTCTTTTTCCTGAGCATACACCTAAGGCTACGCTTTCACTGATGTGTTTTTGCCAGCCCAGGGGCTAGTAGTATGATTGAAGCACTTTCTAAACTTTCATATATTCAAGCTACACTTTAGTCAAACATGAAATTCTTTCATTTATGGTTACAATGTAACCTCTGACAAACAGATTATTTATATCCATCTATGTACTGTATGATGACTGTGTATTCTACTGCAAAGTGCTGCAGAATATGATGGCACAATTATAGATATAAGATGTAAGCATATCCAGGCAGTCCTTGTGGCCAGCTCCCTTCTTTGCAAATTTCCTAGGTTCCCATTTCCCAGGTTGCAATCCCTCCTGGAGGCACTGTGAAATGCCTGCTGAATCTGGTTGTGGATTACATAACACTGAAACTGAGTGAATTTAAAGCAGTTCACTGATTTACTTTACTTGGTAGAAACAGAACTCCATTTGTAGAAACAAAACAAATTATGCTGAAAAGATCTCAGGGCTTTACTGCCAGGTCAGTGTGTTTTACCTGCTCACAAAATGAATGCTTAAACTCGCATCATAATTACCTGTATAATACAATAGCTTAAAGTGTTACTAAACCCAGGACCCTGCTTTCACTATATTTGGTCTCCCACAGTACACCACACATGGAAATGCAATTAATTTAGTAAATATAAAACTGCTGGATACCTTTTCTCATCAGAAGTTAGAGTAGTCTTGTGACTTATATCAGTGTCCAGCAGAGCACTGGTTACAGCTTGTAGGAGGAGTTTCATTCTCCTGTAGCAGGATGTAGCACCTCTGTCTGTAGAGTGCTGCTTGGCACAGTGCTGATCACATGCACTCTCCCAAGAAAAAACAAAACTCTCTAGCAATACACACCCACCAAACTGAGCATGTGCAGCTTGCCCCCAAGCCTCTGTTCTATCAGGAGATATTTGGGAGACACTGGAAGAAGGTGAGGATCAGTGAAGACAGGATCAACATCCTTTTTACACAATATGGAGGAATAACCCCTTCGGTTTCACAGTGAATATAACAAGCATGCTTACTGCATATACAGACTGATTTTACTGTTGTGGGTTTAGTAACACTTTAAAGGAGAAGCACAGCCAAAGTGTTTTTGGATGTACTTCTCCTGTGGATCACAGGAGTACAGTTCATTCTGCTGTTCGTTTTCAGCTGACAGCGGACTAAAGTCCGCTGTCAACTGATGTCACTCAGCTAGTCAAGGCTGCGGAAAGATCCCGACTTCAAAGTCAGGATCCACCCCAGAGTCTGGAGTGGCACCTGGCTCAGCCTCTCAGCGAATTGCTGAGAACCTGAGCCAGCCACTGCTGCAGAACTAGGTTAGTTACAAGGTAAACTAGAGGGTAACCTAGGGTCCAATTTCATACTCTTGCAGTAAACCAAGGGGTTAATGCAATTAGTCTTTCCATGTCAAAGTGGCGTGTCTGCCATTAGACTTGGGAAGATTCACATGTAGTTTTTTGTTATGTAATGTGGCCATTAAAGGGATGGGGGAAGAGACAAGGCTGGTACCTTGCCTAGGGCCCCAGTCTGCCTTATTCTGTCTCATTCTCTGTTTGTTCTCATAACCATTGTCTTTGAGATGGAAAATTCTGAAATTTCACAACGTTACTGTTGTCACCATAACATGAGTTGAGAAGTCTTCCAATAGAGACACCTGTCCTGGTGACAAGAGGGGATCAGTTTGGAAAACATTCTTCTCACTTCCTGTTGTGTCTTCGGGAGAGAAAGTAAAGGGAAATTTCCCCAGTGAGGCTCAGGTAGTAAAAAAAAATTGAATCCCCTGACAGAAGTTTTAATCATTCTCTTGCTCTGTCCAAAACTAAAACAATGGATTTGGTTTTAAATATATGTTAAAATGTAGTGGCAATTGCATAGCTGCTGGTTTCAAATTCCATTTTAGAGCTGCAAACTTTTGACATCTTGCTAAACCATCTTGACAATGTTTTATTTGTAATATAACGTGTGTAGGCCAGTTATTTACAGTATTATAAAGAACAGTTATCACCAGCATGCATACTGTTTGATCTCTCTCTATTGTGTTTTTTTTTTTCCTTTACAGTGGTGATAGACAGTTGTGCATGCAGGAATCTGTTCTCTACTCAATCAATACCTCTACAAATATCCCTCAGATGGTAACAGAAACAGTGCAGTTGGTTAACACCAATGTGTTCTGTGTTCAAACAACAAACTGTGAGTACCTTCTAATTTAGATATGTACAATAAAAGGGAATCAACTATTTTGGTACCTGATTTTGACTCTAGATGACTTGCTTGTTCGTTTTATTTATTATAAATTGACTGGGTTATGCACACACCTTGTTTTAGGGATGAGTTGATCGAACATTGCACTTTCAAATTTTCATATTCCCGGACATCTTGAATATGCATGTTTTATAATGCATCATCTGCAAGAGATTGAGTGAATTGGCACGTTAAATCTGATTGCTCTTCAAAGATCGTTGTTTAATTGCTGCATCACGTATCGCTGTTAGGTTCCTATATTGAGGAACAAAACTACAGAATTTAGGAGTCAACATTAATATGGATGTGATGGTGTCAGTAACAATGATTGTAACCAATGTAGCATGGCATTCACTTTTTTTTTTTTTTTTTTTGTACAGTCGTGGTTTTTTAGTATGACAGGGCAGCAGATTTGCAAGATTGTTCCTATCCTATTCTATTCGTCGAAGAAGAATACAGAGTCTGAATTTCCCCCTTAAGTGGGGTACACACTATGAGGAAATTGGATGAACGATCATCCGATTTTTCCACAAAGGTGATTATCATGATGTAACTGACAATGGTATTAACTTGTACAAAAATTGATGGCTTACATAGGCAAGTGTTATTTCTTTTGTACAATTTCTATGTTTGTTGCCATCCTCCAGATCGTTCTTTGCTTCTGAGCATGCGCGTTTTTTTTTTTTTCTCTATTCGAGTATTACTGTACTGAGCGAAAATTGAACGTGGTGTTCATATACGCTTAAACATGTTCTAGCTTGCACCTTCATATTTTATTTTTTTTTTTTTTTTCTCTGAACAGTCGAAATCGGCTGTCAAATGCTAATGAACAGATATTCGACTGATCGTTCCTCGTACGGAATTTTTCTTTTTCGATTTTCTTATGGTGTGTACCCAGCTTAAGTTCCAGTCTGATTGTAGAGAATGCATGTTCAAAATGATAATATAGAAGGTTCAATAGTTTAGAAGGAAAGCATAATAAATAGTGGTCATGTATCTCAAATAAAATGCTTACCTTAAAAGTAAGATAAATAAATCATACATCTGTATGTTGGACATCTAGAAAATGGCTACTGGAAGCGGAAGTGTTTTATAATAATTGTGGTGATTGGCTTTTGGGTGTTTGGCTTCCCTTTTCCTTTCAGCCCAGAAATGTGCATCCCAGTACAGGATATCACTAAACAGAGGCGGCATTGGGCAGAGAACCCAGAAATTCCAAGCTCCGCCTCTCCAGAGACATGCAAAGAGGGAGGAAGGACAGGGGGCAGTGGTGAAATATGCAGTGGAAGAGTTGCTAGCTGGCTGAAAGGTTCAAGCGGGATCACCGCACAGACACTTTAGCATAAAGAGTAGAGAGCACCAAATAGTCCAGTTTTGAATATACCCTGTAAGGTATAGAGTGCTCTAGTAATTTGTGCCCACATGACACTGACTGTCAATCAAAGGGCTTTAGACCATCCGGAGCCTCAAATCCCAAGCTGGGTATCTCATGTTGCTGAGTAGGTGCTATAGCCCTAATGTAAAGTGATGGGTACCTACGAAGCAACAACCATACAAATCAAACAATGTTACCCTCCAGTAGACCCTTATAGCTACCCCACTAGGGCAATTGTGTGTGTGTGTGTGTGTGTGTGTGCGTACACATCCAGTGTCGCTCCACTTCCTTAAACTGAACCTCTCCAAAACCGAGTTTCTTGTCTTCCCCCCCAGCCCGGACCCCATCCCCCGTTGACTTCTCCATCATGTCCAACAACACCACCATCAAACCCACCCCGCAGGCCAGAGTACTTGGTGTCATTCTGGACTCCAACCTATCTTTCCAGCCCCAAGTCCAATCTTTAACAAACTCATGCAGACTTTACCTCCGCAACATCGCCAAAATACACGTGTTCCTAACTCCAGAAACCACTAAACAGCTCATCCACTCCCTGATCATATCACGACTCGATTACTGCAACTCCCTCCTCACTGGCCTGCCTCGCCGCTGGCTATCCCCGCTTCAGTCAATCCTGAATACGGCTGCCAGACTCATTCACCTTTCCAACCGCTCCGTTTCCGCCACCCCCCTCTGCCAATCCCTCCACTGGCTTCCGATTGCGCAACGGATCAAATTCAAAATCCTAACACTGACGTACAAAGCTGTCCACCATACTGCCAACCTTAAATCCAAGTACCACCCAGCACGCACACTCCGCTCCTCACAAGACCTCTCTCTCTCTAGTTCCCTGGTCTCCTCCTCCCATGCCCAGGACTTCTCCAGGGTGTCACCCATCCTCTGGAACTCCCTGCCTCAACCCATCAGATTGTCACCTACTCTCCTCTCCTTTAGGCGCACCCTGAAAACCCACTTCTTCAGGGAAGCCTACCCCACCCCCTGCTAACTTGCCGACCTCCTCCACTCTTCCTACCACTCCATCCCTCACAGCTTTCTCCTCCTGTGCCACCATCCCCTCCCTCCTAGATTGTAAGCTCGAAAGAGCAGGGCCCTCGATCCTCTCATGTTTTGCATTGTATTGTTACTGTTCTGTCACATGTTCTGTCCCCCTTTGTAATGTACAGCGCTCAGCGAACTATTGGCGCTTTATAAATACTGTATAATAATAATCTACATCTCGCTTGGGTTTATATATTGGGGATCATTAAAGTAGGCTGCTCTTATAATAAAAAGTTACCCATCAAGTTGCCTGTTTTAGGCAGAAATGACCCAGCCATGGTCACTTGGAAACAGTGTAAACCTCCACTGCTATATAGCAATTAGAGATACAATAGCTTGTGTAACAAAGGTATTGCAAACATCCACATATAGACCATGCAAGTATCCAATACCCCTCAAAAGTTGCAAACTTCGTAGTGAAGCACGGTGGATATAAGCTAGCATGTAGGAGCTTTCTATACAGAGGTATAGACTTCAGTGTCCCAGTGGTTTGCGCTAACCTCATATAACATATGGTGAAAAAAAAAATACGCACACACTGTTAGTTTATTAATAAAGTCCCTTCTAGTTTGCTTTCTGCATTTCAATGGACTGAACAGGTGTACATAGTCTGTTAATATACCAGTGTGAGAATTGCTCAAAGCCCAGAGAGTGGCTCTGCCATATAACAGATCCACTTGCAGTATGAAAACTATCATCACATTCATGAATCCACTCCCATCCAGGATGGGTGCTGCAGTTCAATGGGCTGAACAGGTGTTCATAGACTAATTATGAATCCGTGTGTTGGGCAATTGCTCAAAGCCCAGGGTGTGGTTGTGCCATATACCAAATCCTCATGCAGTTGCAGAGCTATCCACACTTACTATATGTTTAACTGTAAAGGTAAAAGTTCCACACTATGGTTGTAGTAGTTTCTAAACTCTTTGGTTGTGTGTAGTCAAGCAATGGACAATAGCCTTCATAAGGCTGGCATATGAATGTCTGTTGTTGAATCCAAAGTGAGTGGATGGCTGTGCACTTTCATGGCCCTATTCGCCTCAGAGAGCATGTGATATGCTGCTGCTGGATGGAAATGTAGATGGACTAGAGGCCGCCACACAAATGCTAAAGGATCTGTGGCTATGTTATCCAATATGCTCAAGGTGGGAGGAATCGCATGAGGCGGCTGCCCAATGGCTGCTGCTGCCATGCTGGCTGTACACATAGTCCCTGGACGGCAGATGCTGGTAGGGACTAGTGCTCTGACATGCTATGAATCTGATCAGCCAGTTTTGCCAAGCATAGGCATAGCTTATCTTCTTCAGGAATTCAATGTGTTGGCATAAAGGAGGAAAAAAAAACTAGAGTGTGTTTTTTTTTTTTTTTTTTTTTTTGTTTTTTTTTCATTTGGACTCATTTGGACAGGTTCAAAAATGAGTAGTGACAATAAGAAACAAATCTGTGAAAATGTTAGTGTACCTCTACACTAGTGACCAGTAAAAAAAAGTACCTCCTTTTATATTAATGGTCTGTTGAAAAGTAATTCCTCACATTGGTAGTCAGTAAAGAAGGAACCAGTTCCAATTGATGTCAGTAGAAAATTGCCCCCTTACATTGATGGTCAGTGTAAGCAGGTGATTGATGTCCACCTTTGCTTACAACTGGAGGGACGTTCAGGTTCTGCAGAACTCTGGTTGAGAAGGGCTGTCCTAGAGCTTAGAACTGGCTTCACTGCCTGGAGCTACTGTGCGCTTTTAAACAATCTGAGCTAGATATGAGATGCTCGAGCAGAAAAGAATAGAATTGAGCTCTGTAGTGGAAGTAGCTTGTCTTTTAAGTGCTACATCACATAACTGTCATACATTTTAAAATGACACGGATCAATATATAATTAAGCATTAGAAAAACAAATGTCTCAATAGTAATAATAAAGTATTATTTTAATATGCTTTTTGATCCATTTTTTAATAAGCTATATTTATTGAGTATCTTTCTAAAATGCCTTCATATAAATATGCTACATTTGAACTCCTGCCACTTTCCTCTTTTCATGTATGCAATACCTAAAAGAGGGGAAATGGTGGAAAATGTAGTGTCTGTCATCCATTGGGAGATGATTCAATTTCCTATATATAGTACCTTCTAGGAAATTGATTGCTGGCTTGTTGGAGGCATTTACACCCATTAAAGCGCAAATCCAAATATTGCTTTCTTTTTAGTATCTGTGTTTCCTGTCTCTCCTAGGTTTTTCTGACTGCTTCCTGAATTCTGTATTGATTTGTCCATTACTATCTTTGTTTAGGTAACGCCTTTGTGCCTTCAAGCTTTGCCACTGAGCATTACCTTCCCTAATTAATTTTGATTCTCGTGGTTAGATAATTAAAATTCACATGTATTTTAAAATCTAGTATTTTAAGGGAAGAATCCCCAGTTTACAAGGTTATACATATGTAGCTGGTAATATTTTTGTACAGAAGGGGTAATAGAAAGCTGTATTTGGCATAGTATTTATTTTTATTATTATTATTACAGGTGCTTATATAGCGCCATCAATTTACACAACACTTTACATGAATCTATTGTACATTCACATCAGTTCCTAACCCTCAAGGAGCGTACAATCTAAGGTCCCCTAACTCAAATTCATACATACACATACTAGGGCCAATTTAGACAGGAGCCAATTAACCGACCAGCATGTCTTTGGAGTGTGGTAGAAAACTGGAGTACCCTGAGAAAATCCACGCAGGCACAGGGAGAACATGCAAACTCCAGGCAGGTGGTACCGTGGGTGGGATTCAAACCTACAACCCTAATACTGCCAGGTGGAAATGCTAATCATTTAACCACTTTTTCTGAGCTATGTTATCAAAATTAAAGTGGTTGTAAACTCTTTCATATACCTGATGAAGTGACTGGCCTTAGGTAATACACAGAAATGGAACAGATCCTCCCACAAAGGTTATACATGTTTATCTGCAGTCTTCTCTGTTTAAAGTCCGGAAGGTATAAACTTTGTCTGCGCTTTTAAAAAACTGGGTGGGGAGCTGAAATTACAAACTGCAGAGCTCAGTGAGGAGAGCTCTGAGAGCTAATTGGAGGGAAGGGTCACTCCCCCATCACACAATACATAGAGCTGAGACTATCAGTCACAGGTCGTGTGCTGGAGGTCCCTCCCCTGTCCCCTTTTTTTTCTCTTGGTGTCAGGAAAACCTTTCAGAAGTGAATCATGCTGAAAGCAGAGGAATGGGGCAGCAGACAAATAGCACTTAGAGCTCTGGATTGACACACTATAGAGGTATATGCTTTGTTCATATTTCATTTCTGAGGTTTACAACCACTTGAGGTCCTACTATGTTAAAATGTAGAGAAAGCAAATATCAGCCTTTCCTAATATCACTATAATGTGCTGTCTGGTGACCCCAAGGTTGTTAGCAATTTCTGTTCTCTCTTTCATTTTAATTTGTATAAACAAACTTTGAGAGTACCGGCCTTTAAAACATACGATTTTATTATAAAGACTGCCTCATTCGGTTATAATTATTGTTATCATACTCACCATTGTCATTGTTTAGGTTTCTATTGACGTTTTATTTCACTTAGTCATGCTGTACTTCTTACTGGAGAACTATCATTATGCTCCTGTTTGCTTCTCTTTTTATCTATTTATTTTTTATACGTAGTATTAAGGCAGTAAAATGGAAGTTTCCATCAGGGATACAGGATGGTTGTTGATGTTTTTTGTTATTCCCAATCCTGTTTTGTGCTCCAGCATGAACTTTTGTTAACCTTGCTGGTTATAGATTAGATTCCCTCAGGAAAATATTCTGCTTCTCGTTTTTTCTGTAATCTTTTGTGTAGTGCCTTATTTATCTTGTAAAGTGCCGTGACCAAATAGAAAATAAAGATCATTCCATGGATTTAAAATCTAAGACTCAATAAAAAAATCCTATTTGCAGAGATGACACTGGTCCTGTGGAACTTTTTTTTCTTTTTCATAAAAGCCAGACTGCCTCCCACACCTTTTTTAATCACATAAATAGTATTTACATAATATTTCATTGTAAGATAGTCTGGATGTTATTCCCATGCTTTAGATGCAAGGGCTGTCAAAGTAAATATTGTTTTTAAGTCCAGTTCTAACTTTTCATGACTTGTAGTAATTTACTCTACTTTTGTTCCCAATTCTTGCCCCTTGGCAATTGATCCTCTATCATTCCTTTTAAAGCCCAACTCCAGTCAATTTTTTTTTCCTGTTTTTTTAACAGATTGGGGAGGAAGCCAAACCTTGATATTATTTTTATTTGCAGTTTGTGTCCCCTTTAATGTAATTAGAACTGTATCTTCATGTCCCAGGGACAACCACTCCCTTCATTTCTGTTCTGCTCCTACAAATACAGAAATATTGTGAAATTGCTTCACAGGCTCATAGACGGCAATATAAACTCCATCCAAAATGGACTTAAAGCCCAACTCCGGGCAACAATCGGTTTTTACCAGGATATAGTAAAATACTTAAATCTGATCCCTAGGTTTAATTTACCTTCTGAATAGCTCGCTCGGACCAAGGTGGTCCAGCCTCTACTACATACAGTATACAGCACTCTGTGTCTGGCAGCAGGATGGGAACTTCTGCCCCCACCACCCCGGGAAAAATTAAAAAGTTGGGCAGGGGGCTGTTCAGCCATTCAGAGTAAGTGGTCTCTTTTTTTTTTTTTTTTTTTGCATTTATACACAGCTTCCATTGAATGGCTAAGGGTGCTCAGCCCATCTCGATTTTGTTCCAGGAGTGGGACAGGAAGTTCTCACACAGCGCTAAGACTCCATACAGTTTAAACAATGGACACCCGCCGCGGCAACTGTTAGTGAAGACAAGTAGTTTGTTTGGACCAGCTTAAAGTTAAATAAAACCTGGAGATCAGCTTTAAAATTGTTGTAAACCCTTACATATATCCAGTGAAGTTACTGGCCTCAGGTGATACACAGAGATGAAACAAATCTTCCTACATAAGTAGTAACTGTTTATCTGCAGTCTTCTGTTCAGCCATTCAAAGTCAAGAATTTATAAAGCTTTTCTAAGCTGTCAAAAAAATGGGGGATGGAGAGCTGAAATTACACACACTGCAGAGCTCATTGAGAAGAGCTCTGAGAGCTGAGTGGAGGGAAAGGACACACTTCCTTCACACAGGAACAGAGCTGAGGCTGTCAATCACAGGCTGTGTGCTGAAGAATGAAGCTGTGAACAGAAATTACACTTAGTGCTATGGATTGAGACAAGTACACACTACAGGGGATATTTTGTGTTCCTATTTCATGTCTGAGGTTTACAAACGCTTTAACTTTCTTCTGTGTGGGTTCTACAAACACCTCATCTTGGTGCATGGTATAAAGTCTATTTTTCACAGATTTACTTCTTTGCCATGCTTTGCTTTCATATTTCTACTCTTAATGGCAGATTTGACAGTACTCCAAATACTTTGTTTACTTTAAAGGCTTTAGAGATTTTTCTTCTTTTCAGTCTCTGCTTTTATTTTCGCCTTTCCACAGAGCTACTTGGAGTGTTCTTGGTGTAGGGTATACTGAAAGGTTGCCTTGGCGAAGCTTGAGAGAGATCAGATTGGCCAAATATGTGAGACTGCCCTAGAAATCTATGGGTAACTTTGAAAAAAGGTTTACTATGGCCCCCTTGATTGATTGGGTAGTGTGGATACCTTTACAAAATAAAGAGGTTGCTACTGGGTCTATTTTACCGTTTCTTGCATCCAGGACCTGCCGTGGGTGCACAGCTCCTGTAATATGACGATAACCATAGATGTTTATTCTTTGTAAGAATTTCCTCTAATATAGTTGTATTTGATTAGTATGCCTACTGTTTTTCCTTCCTATAGACCAGCCAGCTTTGTCCTATATAACTCCAGATGAACCAACCGTGGCAAACTTTGACCGTTTACTTGGAGAGTTTGGTGGAAATCAGTTTAATGCTAAAACTAATACTGTACAAAATGCTGTTGGCTCTGCTCAAGCCCGTAACCTATCTCGATATGAGGTAAGATTTGTCTCTTCCTGACTAGAATTAAAGTGTTACTAAATCCAGGACCCTGCATTCACTATATCCAGTCTCCCACAGTACACAGAGCATGGAAATGCAATTGTTTTAGTAAATCTAAACTGCCAAATACCTTTTCTCATCAGCAGTTAGAGGCAGTCTTGTGACTTCTACCAGTGTCCATCCAAGCATTGGTTAATCTTGTAGAAGGAGTTTTCATTCACCTCTGACTAACTGCCCTATAAGGCTGCATAACCCCTGATCCTCTGTCTGGACAGCGCTGATTGGCCGTGTGCTCATTACAAAAAAAAAAAACCTCTCAAGCAATAGACGCCAAACAGAGCATGTGCAGACTTGCCACTGCTGCTCTAACTATGGCAGCTGGATTGGGGACAACAAAATAGGGGGATCAAGCAGCCTTTTTAGACAGAGGATTAACCCCTGTCCACAGTGAGTATTACAAGCATATACAGACTGATTGTACTGTTGTGGGTTTAGTAACACTTTAATAGATTTTTATCAGTAATTAGCATGGTATATCCAGTACAGTGCAAAATTTTCAGACACTTGTGAAAAAATTGCTGTGATCTGAGGATGCTTTCTAAATAATGGGATAAATAGTACAAAAAAAAAATAATTTTTATACTAATAATTTTTTAGAATCAGAGTGCGGCTCTCTAAACATTTCCCATGATGGCATTGCATAAAAACTGACAGTTAAATGAAATCATATTTGTGTGTGCAACAGTAGAGCCGCAGGTTTGCCTACCCCTGTTCTAAGTGGATAAACATAAAAACACCAAAATCAAATCAGTATTTGTGTGTCCAACAGTATCAATTTTCCTAGGTGATTTTGTTTTTTTTTTTTTTACACCGTTTTTTAAAGAAACTTGGAATGGTAGCTTGTTTCAAACATGTAGGTGAACTAACCACAGTTCTGTGGATTTAGGCTGTCTCAGTTGCTTTTCTCTTCATGTAACCCCAGATTGATTCATTGATTTTTGCAGTCATGGTTCTGTTGGGGCCAGGACTCCTTGTTCTTCATTAGGACTTTCACTGTATGTTAGAGGTCATTGTCCTACTGCAGAATGAATGTTGGCCCCATCAGATGCCTCCCTGATTGTATTACATGATAAATTATGTATCTGCCTATAATTTTCAGCAATCAGGAGACCATTTGTTCTGAATAAATCTCCAAATCCATGTGCAGAAATGCTGCTCCAGACCTGCAAGGAACCTTCCCCATGCTTCACTGTTGCCTGCAGAAGCTCAGACATGTCCCGCTGTCCAGACCATCAGTAAATAAACTGCCTTCTGTTACAGCCACAAAATCATTTTTGGATGCATTGGTCCAAAGTAGGCTGTGCGCACGGCTTACATGTGTGGAAAGGCACAGGAACAACTATTTCAAAAGCAGAGGTACTAGAGATGCTGTCATGCATAGTAGATCTTTTGCAAAATGACCATCGAAGGTTGATTAGCTCTTTAAGAATGACCTTTAGCCTGTATTGTTACATATTCTTTGTTGATCATTAGTACTTGTTTGGTATAATTGTTTAAAGTGCTCTGAAACATAATTCTTCAAAATCCTTAAATCTGAACTAAACTATTTTTAATCCCTATGTTGCTAGCATTAGTAAATAGATAGGAAGGTATATTATATTTTTTTTTTCTTTTTACACTTAATTTTCTTTCTGGTTTCTGGCCTAAGCCAACATTATGTCATACTGTACATCCCAGGAGTCTTCTTGGGAGGAGAGGCCAAACACTCTCTTCAGCGTGCATGTCTGAGCTAAGGGCAGATGGATTCCGGAATGCTCCATGAGTCATCTGCACTTAATCATATATAGCGTTGTTTTTCAAAGTGATTTCTTATCAAAATAAAGTATGGAGACATTGATGGATAGGTGTGTGTGCTATGAATAATATTTTTTCTTTCATTTTGTAGTGCTCTGATACAATTTACTTTTGCTTTAACTGTGTGCAAGTGTACCTGGGAGAATTTATGCTGTTTTTGGGCCCATTCACTCCATGGTGCAGAGAAGTTGGTTTTTCTGCACTCGTTCTGCAAGGGCAAAACAAAAACAATTGTTCTCTTAAGTGCCCTGTTCATACCGCAACACTGGTGTCACGTGCAGATTTTTTTTGTGCACAGTAATCTGCAATGTGTATAAAGCTCATTGAAGCGCGCATGAAAATTAATGTAAACTGATGTCTCTGCAAGTGCGTCAGTTTTCATGCACATATGGTGTGAATGAGCCCTTAAGGCAAAGATGGACATACCAAATACTAATTTGGTTAAATTTCTTTTTGGTTTATACATTTGTAGGTTAATAATTAAAAACTGTTAATTTTTTTAAAGCATCCTCACTTTACAGCATTTCTTTGCACAGTAAAGAAATACACTATCCCATTGGGGTATCCTAAAGCTAGAGAGTGCAAAATCCGGCTCGCTGAGGTTAAAAGCGGATTGGTTTCTATGCAGAAGTGAGCCTGATTTTGCACACTCCAGTTTTGATAAATAAACACCAGTGAGTCTAATTATAGCCATGTAAATTTGCCCATGGCCTAGTGGTAGTAAACTATTCTCAACCCTTTCATTATTCCACAGAGATAGTTTTTATGTACTTTCTGTAATCCTAACATCACATGTGTTATTGGACTGTGCTAAAAACGCTCCTGCAGCAGCCCAGCACATTCTTTGCTACCAGCTGGTTAGGCAATAACTGTAGAGCTTACATCTAAGCTGAAGTATTGGAGAGAAAACAATTAAATAACGAGACAAATAATTGTACTTGACCAGTGAAATTATTCAGGTGTTTTTTTGTTTTTTTTTTTTAAAGTTATTTTTATTCATATTTTCAAATTTTTGCACAAATTAACAAAAGAATATTAAATACAAATTCTGATGGAGAGGAAGCAGGCAGTAAGCATACCATACAGCACTTGCAATTTACATATTGAGAGAGAACGAAAACCTCATTTGTGAGTGGACATATTTCCCATCAAAAAAAAAAAAGAAAAACAAGGAAACAAAAAAGAAACAAACAACTCAGAAAAAAAATTGACAGATTAACAAAGAAAGTTGCACATCATATCATATAGTCAATGGGAGGCCTACAATCCCAATTTGAGATCTAGCATACAGGGATATGTATAAAGGAAGGCCAAACTCAGGACTGGAAACCTCAACTCCATCCCAGATTAGCACATATCAGGCTCATGATACAGAAGTGAACTTCGCATGTTCAAGGGTCTATCTGAGTCACCTAGATTGTAAGCTCGAAGGAGCAGTGCCCTCGAACTCTCGTGTATCACATTGTATTGTTATTGTACTGTCGCATGTACTGTCTCCCATTGTAATGTACAGTGCTGAGCGAACTATTGGCGCTTTATAAATACTGTATAATAATAATAATAACCAGGTCAAAAAGACTTATTGAGGCTCCTGGTGGAAAAGAGGGGTCCAGGACTCCCAACTCCTTCTCTCTTTACCCAGTAGGTGTAGTAAGTATCCTCCAGGGTGAGGCGGGTCGTTCCCCACAGTAGGTAAGGAGTCATAAACTTTCAGTTGACGTAATGTGTTTGCCAGGTTGGATTTAGCATACCAAGCAGTATATTGAAAAGTGGTTATAAGGTGTCTTAATTATTCAGTTTTAAACATTTGAGTGGATGTTCAGATTTACAGTTGCTGAATCATTGATTTTTTTTGTTTTTTTTTCGCTCAAAATTTGCAGTCCTTTTTTTTTTTTTTTTTTTTTTTGGCAAAAAATAAAAACACCAGTGGTGATCAAATACCACCAAAAGAAATCTGTCTTAAAAAAAAAAAAAAGAATTCAATTTGAGTACACTGTTGCATGACCATGCAATTGTCTCTCAAAGTGCGACAGTGCTGAAACCTGAAAATTGGCCTGGGCAGGAAGGGGGTGAAAGTGCCCGGCAGGCAAGTGGGTTAACAAAATGAATAATGCCATGTACATAATATGATATTGCATTTGATTTTTCTGGGTTAAATGGTATAATATATAAAATGTACTCAAGTGCAAACTTTGTACTGCATTTTATATACATAATAAAGGTGCAGTTCTATTTATAACAATGTGTTCGGTTCCTCTTTCTGAGTACATATAAACACAGGTGCATTGAAGCAGCACTGTTCTTCTGATGAGCCGTTTTATTGTGAGATTGTTTGTGGTAAGCTTACAAAGAGCTGGGTAAAAATGTACAACAGGCTTCACTGTTAAGATAATTCTATAATCTTAATTTTATTCAAATCTTTGCTAATCCATAGCCAACGTTCTTTAAGACAGGTTCTGCTATGTGAATGTACCATGGGTGATTGCAGAGATGAGAAAGAATAAACATTTTCAGATGGCACTAAAAAATTATTGCTGCAGCAGGGTAAATTATTTTAGACATGCTGGTAATTTCCCTGCATATTGGGAAAAAACAGCCGCCCTCACTAAACACCTGTTTGGATATGGAAGAACCCATCAGTGGTAAATATAGCTGTACTATGACTGTTCCTGCCAGTAATTGTATCTATTATCCCCATGTGGGATCTAGAAATTCTGCTTAGAAGCCAAGTACTGTAACTAGATCTTTCTCATTTTGTCATCTGTGTTGCATAATCAGTGTAAAGTTGAACCCCAGACAGTGCCATTACCAATGCAGATTAATTCAGTAATTTGTAAAAAAAAAAAAAAAAAAAAATGAAATGTGTTTTTAAATGCATTTAGTTTAAAGCGGAGCTCCACCCAAAAGGGGAAGTTCTGCTTTAAGGACTGCTCCCCCACTTCCCATTAAGGATTGGCACCTTTGTGGGCCTGGGGGGTCTGACAGGTACCTGCTCCAACTTCTGGTCCGATCGCCTAGGCAATCGGAAACGGAAGGTGTCCTTCCCTTCCTGTAGTCTTTTGGGACACGTGACAGGTTCCAGAAGACTACAGGACCATTCATGAAGCGCAGCGCTACTCACGCATGCGCAGTGGGTACCCGGCTGTGAAGCCGCAATCTATCACAGCCGGGTGCCCACACTGAAGATGCCGTCCTCCTGGAATACAGGACGACCGGTGAAACGGTCTGCGGGGGACACAATGGGAGACACAGCTGTTGACTTTTAAAAGTCAACAGCTACAGTTCTTGTAGCTGCTGATTTTTATTTTTTGACAGGGTGAGTGGAACTCCGCTTTAAGTATTGGAATGTGTCTTTATATTGGCAGCATTCGGCTGGGAGGGCCAGCAATAGTATTTTTCAAGGAAAAGGCTTTGAGTGAGTGATGATGTCATCAATCTGTAGTTATTTCTTATCAAACTGGGGGTGTGTCCTTGACCACTCTGTACTGTAACTATAGATTAGGTCTGTGACCCACTATGTGCACTAGAGTTCAGCCAAACCTGGTGGCTTTGGTGTACTTTCAGTGCAGTTCTGTGCTGGCTCCTCTGGCCTCTCCAGCTCCAGACGGGACTCTTTCCTACAAAGGGGGCCCCCCTGCAATGTTGCAGGCTTGGGCTTGACTTGCAAAGGTAAGCGATGGCAGCCTATATGCTGAGATCTTCCATGACAGAGGATCTGTGCTGTCCTGTGCTCCCATTTGCTCCTGGTATAAGGGCACAGCCACAAGGCTCCCTCCAGCTAACTCTGACTGCTGTTCTGTACTAATAGGGACGCTGGAGCCTGGTGTGCACCACTTTGAAGGACTGTAAGATGCCCAGGCAGCCAGAGCTGGCCAGAAGGACCCTCCCATCTCCAACCCCACAGCGCACTTTATCTGAGCCGTGGCCCCAATATGCTGCAACAGCTAACGTCTAAGTCAGAGCAGACCGGAAACAAGGGCCAGGAGGAAGAACCACTGTTCTAGGCCAATAAGAAAACCTATTAGATTCTTATGTGTTATGTGCTAGCAGAATTATAACACTCATTTATTTTTTTTTGTAGTATGGTGTACCTATTCTGACTCAAGACTCTTATCTAAAGCTTCCAGCTCCTCTGGGCACAAAAACGTGTGTTGACAGTAACCCTGTAGGTAAGCGTATTTCATGTTGTATGGTAAACAAAAGATGGATTGTTAACTATGAAGGAAATTCCAAGTCTAAATTGGTGTAGACTGAATTTCCTTTGAAAGACTGCTGCGCAGTTGTATGTGACTATTGAACCCTGTCATGAAAATCTGCTGGCATGAAATGCCTTTGTCAACACATTTCATAGCTTCTATCTTTGCTTTATGTGTAAGTGTAGTGTAAGGACATCTTCACGGTAGTGCCAAGGGCAATGATGATGGTGTGTGTATAATGCAGAAAATGTGAGCATCCAGTCAATTTTTTGTGTACTGCAGTTAGAATAATTAGAACTATTAAAGATGAATACCAATGGCACAATGCTTTGTACATTGCTTTAATAACCAGTTTTGCACATACTATGCTTCATAAAAAGTCATTAGATTTCACAGAGTGTGTATAGTGTGCCCTGTCCTTCTGCTGCTCTGCCCCCCTCATAAAATGACAGTATGGAGTAATTGTGTAAATCCAGCAGCCAAGAGATGTATCTGCTGTCATAAAACTGACTCAGTGTTTATAAACAATGTTCAGAAAGGAGATAAGGAGATGCACAGTAACAATGTTGCCTTTGTTTCTACTTTTTCATGCATCTGCAAATCAAAGATATGAGCTTTAATCTGTATATAATGTCAGTTAAAGCAACTTGTCAAGGTGAAAGCAACAAGTGTTAATAGCTTTAGAAATAAGAGGCTGCAGGACATACTGTTTGACCCAGCAGGAAGAACCACTGTGTGCGAAGTGGGAAACAGGTATTCGACTTCTGGCAGTGGCATTGCAGTGGCGTTTCACAACATGGGCCTTTACAAAGGTATGTTGCCCCATCTTTCTGCAAGCATTGCTGTTTTTTGCCTCAACCCATCTGCGTGTTAAGGGAAACTTAGCCACATTCCGGAGTCCTATAAAACCATCATTAAAAATCAACAACAGTTTTCCCATTTGTTCTTTGTCTTACTGCTCCATTTGCAATCTGGGAGAGCTGTTAAAATTACAAAATACTGAACTAAAACATTGAAACTACCCAACTCAATACCTTACCATTCTGTTATGAATGAAAGGCTCTTCTTGCACTAATATCAATGTTTTAATGCGCAGTAGCACACTGGACATGATATATATGTTGGGGTGCCATTCATTTCATACAGCACCCCACAACACTTCCAAATGCACCTCGGTTGCTTGATGTGCAAAAAATTAATACATCAGTACCAGTACAGCTTATATATTTTAAATAGGCTGCATAATGCAATGCACCTCAATGCATGTATGTTGAAGCGTGTGTGTTGCAGTATAGTACATGATGATGTCAAGGAGCACTAAAGTTAAGTGGACGTTGAGGACATGGAGCAATGTCCTTATTGAAAGTGTGAGCATTTTATCCCGTTGTGTGATGGTAAAACAAGCTCTGTATTTGAATGTTCTCTGCTAATGGAACTAGTAAAAGAAATACACTAGTACGGACAGTTATATACTGTACACATTGGTTAGAACTGACCACTCAGATCTGGGCTCTGTTCTATATGCTGAGTCCTTAGGCCACATTCACACTGCTGCACTGCAGTTTGCCTGCAGCGCAGTGTAACCGCAGTTTTCCATAGTCTTCTGTTATGTTGTGTGTTTTTTAGGGCATTTTCTGAAAGCGCACCGAAAATCCTACATGCTGAATCTTTGGTGTACTTTCAGAGAACCCTCCAAAAACTTGGCACATAATTAAAGTCAACGACAGCCATGGATAACCTGAATGAAAACCGTGGGTACACTGCACTGTGGCCAAAACAGAGCATGACAGTGTGAGACAGCTCCTACAGGAAACTGCCAGAATCCATAGCATAAATGGGAAGTGTCAGTCCCTTGTGTCCCTTTTTAATAACAGTTTAAAAATGCTTGTAGCCAGGCAGTAGTAGTTTTAGATTGGCCTGCTTGGGATTAAGTCATCAGAAAATGAAGGAAAAGCTTTTATGTTTTTTTACTAATAATAAATTCTTCTATTTTAATAGGCTTTTTGGTGAGACAGAACTTTACATGCACTCAGGATGTACAACTAGAGAATTGTTCAATCCCTGCGCTAACCCTGCGAACTTATACAGGCATCCAGATTGTACCTGTAAGTGGTAGAAATGTTAAGTATTTTTGAAGTGAAACCTGATGGTTTGGGTGGCTTACAACATCTGATACTTTACTTTTTTTTTTAACAGGTACCAAATTCACAAAGTGGGGTAAGTGTTCCATCATATACTAAATATCTTGAATTTATATACCTTAGACACCCCTGTTTACAATAAAATACATTTCATGTTACCAACTGTGCCATTGATAGGGTAAAACACCTCCAGATTTCTTGTTATACCGTTTACGCCTATCTGGTCAAATGAATCTCTCACAGAGCTTGCAAAACTACAGGGCTTTCAATATTGGCGCAAAGCAGGTTTACTTTTGATCCATTACGTTTATGTACATCAAACCTTTAAGTCTTTCCACCAACTGCACTGCGTTACTTTAACTGGTAATTGCGCAGTCATGCAGCGCTGTATCGAAACAAAATTTATCTAATTTTATTTCACACAAGTAAAGCTTTCTTTTGGTGGTATGTTATCATTCCTGGTTTTTTTATTGTCTGCGATATAAACAAAAAACAGACCAAAAATTAAAAAAAAAAAACAATTTTTTTACTTTCTGCAATAAAACCTATCCAATGAAATTTCTTCATAAATTTTTGGCCAAAATGTATTCCGCTACATGTCTTTGATATATGAAAAAAAATCCCAATATATATATATCCAAATATATTGACTGGTTTGCGTGAAAGTTATAGCGCCTCCAAACTATGGCATATATTCTGGAATTTTTTTTTATTTTTTTAAAATTCTACTAATGGCAGTGATCAGCCACTTCTATTGGGGCTACGGGAGTGTGGCGGTCAATCTGACACTAACTTACACTGACATCACCCGTGACATTAATACAGTGATCAGTGATAATACTATACACTGTCACTGTACTACTGACACTGGCTGGGAAGGGGTTAACATGGGTGATCAGGGGTTAAATATTTGCCTAGCTATTTATAATGTGTGTAAAGTGTGCTGTTTTTACTAAGATCTATTAATTTATCATCCCTGCTTTGCGGTATCCCTGTATACAGAACTGTATGTTGAATGTGAACAAAGAGCTTTGAGCTGTGACTGTACGCAACTGATCAGCAGGTCCCAGCCATGAATCATTGGCCGGGACTTGCTGACAGGCTTCCGCTAGGCAGATCAGTTTAGCTATTACCTATAATATATCCAATAACATTATATACTTAGAAATGATCATTTATATCATCATTATTATTTTTCTCTGCAGATTAATGTGACTGTGCAGGCGGTTACAATGCAGTCTATTGATGGCACCCTCGTTAGAGGAAATTTTAGTGACCAAATACCATCCTATAACAGTAGTACACAGATCTGTACCAATGTGGTTTTAGGGGTAAGTTTTCTAAATATGTGATTGGGATATCTGTGAAAAATTAGTCCTAGTCTTTTCATATACAGGCGCATACATTTTTGTCATAAATTGTGTAGTTAAAACAACACATCCACTCCCTTAGGCCTGGTTCACACCAATGCCAATTGCATTTTGTCCTTTTTTTTGTGGTGCGATTTGCATTTTTTTTTTTTTTTTTTCCACACTTTGGGGGGGGGGGGGTGCTCAAAATGTTGCTGGGCAGATTAAAAACCAGTCAAAAATGCACTGCATGCATTTTCTACAGCATCTCCATTGAAGTCTGTTGAACCTAAAAGAGCCCCTGCCCCTTTACAAAAATGCAGCTCAAAAAAGCATAGATGTGAACGTCTCCCTTAGGCAACCACGTTAAATGGACTGTAGTGAGTTTCTGCAAAAAGCACTAAAAACGCATTGGTGCATAGCTTAAAGCTACTTTCAAGCTATAAAATACTGGACAAAAATAAATGCATAATGAATATATAAATAGTGTCATGTATAACAAACATCAGTATGACTTGTATTAATTATCCAAGCACCATGTGAGAAAAAGTATCCATAATTCCCTAACTTCAAAAACAGTCCCAGTGATGTTCATATCTCAATTCCATGCTATGCATAATGCTCTCATGTACTCTCCCACTTGTACACTCCCACCAGAAAGACATTTACCCTTTAGAATGACCTCTAGGTAGTTTAGAAGATCTTAAAGACCACTTGTACCCAAACTATAGACATAGTATATGCATATTCGTAACGAACAGTGAAATCGCTTTAAAACAAGTCATCCCTGACTTCTTTAGCTAGATGTAAAGTAGTTCATCCTCAAAGATCTCTGAAAATCACAACAAAGACTCTGTAATATTCTTTCTAGGGCCCCATTCACACCTTGAGCACTAAGCTCCAAAGCGCTCGGCATCCAAAATCTCATGGTTTTCAATTGTACCTGTTCACTCCTGAGATAGTCAAAGAAATTCATAAAGGTGGTCACAGACACCCTTTACAATTCTGTTGGGGTGCAGCACAAAGTGTTGCCACCCTGGATACTCCTTCCTCAGTGCACTTACTCACGCCCTCTCTTTCCAGCCACTGTGCCTTTCACACTGACAGGCGTCTCTCCAAGGAGGTTTCTACTAGGGAAGGACAAATTCATAGCTGCTATTCAGTTCAATATCGACTTTTGCATCCACCCAGTGCTGTGAGCTAGCAATCAAGAGTAAAGTGAAATTGATAGAGAACTAGTCTCTTAGTTCTCCATCAGGCTTCCTCCATCCATTGATTAATCATTTCCCATGTTTGAGTAACTACATCAGCTGTATCCCTTGCTTACATTTAGCTTTTGGCCAGGAATCTCCTGGCCAACAACTCAATGGGGCCATTGAAACCACCCTGTGCTGGAAGCTGTCACATGACAGATGTCACATTACAAGACAGATCCTAGGACAGGTATAGCCCACTCTGAGTACTGGCATATCTCTGTACACCAGCTCAGATTTGGTATTCATTATCTCCACTTTCCTAATCTGAGAACTGGTGATATTTCTTTAAAAATGTTTCTGCTGCTACAGCAACAGATTCTTAAACAAAGCAGTAGTAAGAACTACCTGAATTCGCCTCACATATTGGTAATGTTGCCAACACTGGCACAAATGCTTACCTGAGTTAGGTGCAGGTAGTTTCTAATGGAACCACTGCTAGAAATCTGCCATTAAGGCTTTCTTGACTTCCGCTAAGCGTCACTTGAAACTTTTAGTTGGAAAAAGAACACAAGCTTCTGGATTCAAGTGTTTTTGGCTCCAATATACATCAGTGGGAGCACCTGAAAAACATGAAAAAAACGCAGGTATTATGCATTTTTTGTCCCTCAGTAACTAGGTTTTCATTGGCTAACAAGGTCTTAAAAAAGCCAGCAAAATGACCAAAGACGCTTCATGTGAATGCAGTCTGACAGCATAGAGACACCTGCTGTGTGTTTACATTAAAGGAAGAAAATGTAATGGTAGAAAGTTGTATAGGACAGCATCTTACTTTTTACATTTTTTTTTAGAGCCTCTTTTGTAAATGTTGAACATTTATTTCTCTGTAATCCTTGTAGCTACAAGAATGAAAATGTATTTTAAAGTGATTTTACGGCTTGTTCAGAATGTTTAAGTACATTTTGTGTGCATCGTCTGGGCATGGATTCACTTTTAAGTGCTGGTAGTATTCTAAACCCCATTAGGGGGTCAAATGGCCACCTTTGCTCCAAAGTCCAGGTTCTATTTCTTCTTCCAATGCCAACATCCTATAACATCACACACACATATAAATCACCTCTCCATTGTGTAAAACCACATCTTTATTGAAAATGTGTTAAAACACTGATGAAACTCATATTGTGCAGGGCACACTAGTTTAGAGTTCTGTCAGGTAGCTCTTCCACTGTGCTATCTGAACATCTCCACATTTCACATGCCCAATGTGATTACGTAATGTACATCTGCTCAACATGTTTTGTCTAAACAGACTTTCTCAAAAATTGGGCTTATATGGCTTATCACTAACTATATAACCTTCTGTTACCCTTACGCTGCCATGTATCTACTGAATGAAAAACATAGCAATTCATCATGTTATTCCCCCATCACGTGTTGACATGGTAGCATTGTACATGTTAAAGATCTAGTTTGCGTTTGAAATAGGAAAACTGCTACATGAGTGTTTCATGGCTAGCGCTCTATTTTTCCTATCATTTCTGTGTTGGGATATTTTCTGTAAATAGATCACTTATTGCTAAATTTTAACCAGCTGTGTCGTGGTTTTGGAGAATACAGTAAATGTGATGGAGGTGAGAATGGGTAAGCTAAAAAAGCAGTGTATGTGTTCATTGATTTGAAGCAGTAAATAGAACAAAATTACATGTACATATACCTGGCCATGCAGACCCGATGGATGACCATGCATATTGGTAAGTAAAATAGCTACTTGTTTTTCTTAATTCATATTTTGTGTTTTTTTTCAATTTTGTGTTATGATATCAATACTGATAACCCCAAGTAAGGAATCTGTAAGTATGGTTTTCAGGGGGTTAATAAGGTTTAGGGGTTAAGTGATGGTTAGCATTTTAGGGATTTACCATTACTTTTAGGTGTTAGGGCCCTTTCAGATCAGACTGCCTGTCTGCCAATCAGGTCTGCCTGTCTGTTTTTTTTTTTTTTTGGCTGGCCTGATCGTAAGGTGCATGGACAGGTGCATGTCCATTTACACCCACCTACCTCGGAGTCTGGACTACCTCCTTTTCCATTTTTTTTAGACCTAAGCATGATGAATCAGAGGTAGCCTGATGTAAACAGGCACTATTAAAGTCCATCTATATCTGTCCACCTTTTAGAGTCATCATCCTTTTAGAGTCAACTGTCCCATTCAGTTCTGATTCAGTAGGGGCGATAAAGGGTCAATTTTAGGGTTAAGCAATGTGGGTGCTTTTTATATTCAAATACTTTTTACAGAATTTTCAGCAAATACAATTACAGGTGCAAAAAGCATATAACTATGGTAGGTAAATGGTCATACAGGCGGTTAATATAGTGCAATAAATTTCCAGCATATAGTAGGAAACCGTGTCCACAGAAGATAGGTCAGGGTATGCGGGGAAACAGTACTTTCAGTTTTTTGAACAACTGAGAACATATAGGGGGAAATGGGGGAAGAGATGAGAATCAAGGAGGGAAAGTAAAGAAGAGGTAGGAAGAACTGTATCAACTAACAGGTTAAACAATATACCAGTCAAAGTAACTTTAAAGTACTCCATAATGTATGAGCTATCAAACTTGAACCATTCCTTTAGGGTTGTGTGGCCATTGGGACCAGGAACTTATAAATTTGGCAGAAGAGAGGTTTTTGAGGGCAACCCTCTTTTCCATATCGCACTGGAGGTTTAGATCTCTAATTACCATAGCTAGAGATGGTGATGAGAGTGATCTCCACAATCTGGTTATGTGATTTTTGACTGCATATAGAGTATAAATTATGATACTTTGTGAGTTAGGGGGCCATCTTTCTGTTCAAATATGGAATAATGCTAATGTGGGGTATGGGCTTACTTTATTTCTGATTATCTCAGATATTACATTAAAGACACTATTCCAAAAGGATCTTATTGATTTACAGGACCACATGAGGTGTAGAAGAGAGCCTATTTCTCCAAATTGCCGCCAACATTGTGGAGAGCAGGTGGGGTAGATTTTCGACAATTTGACCGGTGTTAGGTACCATTGATGTAGTCATTTTAGGTAGGATTCCCAATGTGTGGCGCAGTGTGATAATTTGTACGCAGGAGTGAAAGCTTTGCGCCAAGACTGGTCTGATAATGCTTGGGAAGTGATCAGTTCCCAGTTTCTTAAGGACGTTGTTCTTAGATTAACTTTAAAATCGGTAATGTGGGAGTAGAACATGGAAATTTCTTTGTCAGGGTATTTAGTGTTGTTCTAGTACTAGAACACTGGGGATGGAAGAGTAGAGGTAGGTGGAATGTGTTTAGATTTTATGCAGTGTATAATCCTTAGATGAGTAAAGCATTCTGAGGACGGTAGTAAAAAATATGTTTTGGAGGTATTGGAAAGAGATTAGTTTGTTGTCCGCATAAAGGTCTAGTAGTGAGTGTATACCACTTGTTTCCCATAATGTTAGGGTAAGGTAGGGATTTAAAGAGCACAAGACATTAATGGGAGTAGGTATCAACCTGTAGGTTGGAAATGTGTGTGATAAAATAGACTAGGCTTCTAAGGAAGCCTTAATACTCGGGTGATTGATAGGTGGGTGTTTGGTATCTATAGAGCATAATATAAGGTGGTTCTGAGGTAGACGTGGGCAGAATAATTGGTGTTCCATAATGGAACAAGTTTTTTCCTTAGTTGGGTGCCACCAAAAGTATATTTGGTTAAGAAGTGCAGCTAGATCAGGGGTGGGCAAACTTTTTGACTTGAGGGCCGCAATGGGTTCATATATTGGACCCGGGGGCCGGACCAAGAGTAGATGAATGATGTGTATGTGTCATCCATAGTAAGTATAGTAATATTCCCCCATAGTAAGCATAGTAATTCATCCCCCATATAGTAATTCATCCCCCATATAGTAATTCATCCCCCCTATAGTAATTCATCCCCCCTATAGTAATTCATCCCCCATATAGTAATTCATCCCCCATATAGTAATTCATACCCCATATAGTAATTCATCCCCCATATAGTAATTCATCCCCCATAGTAATTCGTCCCCCATATAGTAATTCATCCCCCATATAGTAATTTATCCCCCATATAGTAATTCATCCCCCATATAGTAATTCATCCCCCATATAGTAATTCATCCCCCATATAGTAATTCATCCCCCCTATAGTAATTCATCCCCCCTATAGTAATTCATCCCCCATATAGTAATTCATCCCCCATATAGTAATTCGTCCCCATATAGTAATTCGTCCCCCATATAGTAATTCGTCCCCCATATAGTAATTCGTCCCCCATATAGTAATTCATCCCCCATATAGTAATTCATCCCCCATATAGTAATTCATCCCCCATAGTAATTCATCCCCCATAGTAATTCATCCCCCATAGTAATTCATCCCCCCCCATAGTAATTCATCCCCCCTATAGTAATTCATCCCCCCTATAGTAATTCATCCCCCCTATAGTAATTCATCCCCCATATTAAGTCCCCCGTGTCAATTCACTTACCTTTGCTCCGCGCGTTTCCTCTCGCCGTGTTCCGGTGTAGCATGAAAATCTGTCTCCTATGAGGATCTGTCCCCCTCGACGTATCTGCGCATGTGCCAGTTTCAGGCATTAGCAGCTGATCGGCGATCTCCGGCACATGCGCAGATACGTCGAGGGGGACAGATCCTCACAGGAGACAGATTTTCTTGCTGCACCGGTCTTCAGGGCGGACTGTGAGAGGAGCCTAGCCGGAGTCTAGCTCCGCGGGCCGGATTAAAAGGTCCGCCGGGCCGTAGTTTGCCCATTGCTGAGCTAGATAGTAGGAATGTAAGTGTGGAAGGGCCGCACCTCCTCTATGGAAATGAGCATGTGGGTGCGTTTTGATACCTTGCTGCTGAAATAAGAATGTGAGAAAACACAGAACTCCCCCCCCCCCCCCCCCCCACTTCCTACTTGGACACAGCAATACACCAAAACACCAGAATTTATGAGATCCTGCAAATGGGGAATTTCACCTTAGCTTTGAGAAATCAAGAAGAGACATTTTTCTGTACTTGGGTGCCTTGATTTTCTTTTTTAAGCGGAGCTCGACCCAAAATGTGAACTTCTGTTTTAAGGCTTCCTTTCCCCCTCCTCTTTACGAGATGGCATTTTTTTTTGGGGGGGGGGGGGTCTGGATTTGACAGTTACCCACTCCCACTTCTACTCGAATCGCCTAGGCAATCTGAGCGGAAGTTTCTCCTAAAGGTCTCCCCCCAGAAGACTTCAGGACCATTCACGAAGGGCAGCGTGCCACACTCGTGCAGTGGGCTCCCGACTGTCACAACCGGGTGTCCACAGTTTAGCTGCTGGCGTCAGGGACAGAACATCAGTGGAAAGAACTGCTCTGGTGAGCACATCGCTGGATACTGGGACAGGTAAGTGCATGTTTAGAAAAAGTTTAAATATTAGAAGTTTTAATATAATTATTATTATTATTATACAGGATTTATATAGCGCCAACAGTTTGCTCAGCACTTTACAATAGAACGGGAGACAATACAGCATAATACAGTTCAATACAAGAGGGAAAGGAGAGCCCTGCTCCTTGGAGCTTACAATCTAGGAGATAAACACAAATATGACTAAAGCTCCTCTTTAAGGTTACTGCAACCCTAACGCAACCAAAAACTATAAGCATATTTCATAACTCCTTTATACCACCACCCCCTACAACAATGGAGCGCATTAGAGGGAGGAGGGGACCCCCTTCCCCCTCTGTCCCTCCCCCCTTTTTTTTTTCCCTCCAATTTCCCCATCACGTGACTATCCCATTTATTGTCTTCCGCTCCTTCCTCTATCTTACACTCCCCCACTATCACATTCTATTTCCCTACCCTCCCAATAAAATAAATACAAAGAACAGTTGTGAAATAGGTCATAACATTTCCTTGCCTACCTAACTAGAGTTCCAAAACTGTGCCTATGTATGTCTATGGACAGGTGACCTGACAGCTTGCTGAATCATTATGCACCTTGTATACTGAGATTGTAAATCAGTAGACTTTTTATATGTCCTTATGTATTTTGTATCTTTAAGCATGTCAGATTCTCAAACAGTTGTAAATCATTCTGTTACGGGCTATTCGTCACAGCTATGTGAATGCCTGAGACATTCACACAGCAAATTTTTTTGATAAATCAACCCCTGGCAGTCTGTTTGCTAAGGCCAAATGCCTTCAGATGTGTGTTTGTTTTTTTTTTTTTTTCTGTTCAGCTTTTATACATTTCATTTCATCTATGTTCGACATTACAGTATATGTGTCCATCAGAACTTAACTGTGTCTGAGCACCACAAACTGAAAATGTTATTTAATTAGTTTTTAATATTCAAAGCAAACTCTCCCATTCATCCATGTACCTCTGCTTTATTTGTTAAGAAATCACTTTAAAAGCCCCCCCCCCCCCCCCCCCCCCCCAGCATTTCTAAGTGTGGCTGTCTTGCTTAAGGGTAGATGATTCATGTAGCATTGGCTTACTGGAATTTGTCTGCCTTTAGCTCAGGCATGCATGCTGGAGGGCTTGATTAGCTGAGAGAGCCTCTCCTCCAGATGAAAGGGGGGGAAACCATGCCCATGAAGACTCCTGAGATGTAAGATAATACTTTGGTTTAGGCCAGAAACTAGGAAGCAACTAAGGAAATAATGAATAAAAATGTACTGAACTAGAAACAAAATTAAAAACAAGTAAATATAATATACCTTCCTATCTATTTACTAATGCTAGCAGCATAAGGACTAAAAACAGTCAATGTTGACTGACAGAAATTAATGCTGCTTTAAAACCATACTGAAGTTAATTAGCTGTTAGTGCACCTTAAATTGAGTAGTAAACTGTATTCCCTCTTGACGCCCAAATAACATATATGTAGAACAACAAAAACCTGGGCTTTAATGCCCAAACATCGCACATATGCTTTGCTGGGTGGGCAATGTTTTTGTGCTGCTCCCTGCTTGCTCTCAGCACAAAGATCGCGTTGCCAAAATCAGTTCTCGGTCTGAAAAACATCGGTAGCCGGCAGGACAAACTTTTGATCATGTGACCACTGTGACTGCCAGTCAGTCGTCACATGATTGCTCATTCTTCCCACCCCCCCTGGTCATTTAGAACTTTTAAAGGGGATGCAAGGGCAGACGGGAAGGTGTTAAAATGTTTAGATTTCATAAAATTTACATTTGTATGCATATTTCTTTTACGACCACCTAAAACGCATTCTGTTTTGATCAGGCCCACAACTATAGTCCATAGTAAATTCTGATTCCTATCCAGTAGTGTTGAAATGTGTTATCTGATTTTCATTTTGGTCAGTGCTTGATGAGTACATTTTACAATTCTGAGATCATATTTTTTTCCTCTGTAGGGAAGTTACTCCATAATTTACACTGCTCAAGGGGCGATAACAAATGTCCTGGCATCTTTTACCCTTGGAACAATCAGCAGGAGCCCTTTTCAACAATCCTTCCAGATCAGATTCACAGAGGTATGAAATTCTGTAATACATACTGTCCATACATTTCAGAAAGTCCTTTTTCTTTGCATACCATGTACTGTGTAATTAAAGTTTATCTATAGCCAAAACAGGTTTTTAGGATTTGGATTTAGTAGGAAATGGTTACAACCCTTGTTGGGTTTTAAGTGCTGTGTCCCCACTGAGGAGATTCACCTTCTCTATATGTCCTGGTTACCCTGAGTGCCAGCTGGACACAAAGTGAAGAGAAACATACATTCAGGCTTTATTCACACGGGTAGCTAACGGTGAGAATCTGTGGATTCTTGCTGGTAGATCTAAAAACTGCATGCATACAGAGCAGCTGTCAGTAGTGGCTGTCAGATTTGTGCTCCATACAAATCAATGGTTTGGTGTCATGATTTAGCCTGAAGTGTTCCTGCCTGTGTTATTTTTACCTCCTTACATTGCTGCAGTTCTTCTCCTAGTCCTGTGATTCCTTTCACATGTGGTGCTTGGCTTCTGTGCTCACCTATGGTCATCAACTGCTATTCTATGGGTTTATATTTCCTTTCCCTTCCATCACTTCCTGGCCCACCTCCCAGTTTGCTCCTCTATATAAGACATGCTCGCTGCAGCCCACATTGCCTGAGCAACTTCCCAATTCTCTGAGCTCCTGTTGGCCTACCTACTATTACATGTATTCTGTGTCTGACTTTCCGTTTACTGACCCTGGCTTTGTCTGTGCTTGTCTGCAGCCCCCCATTCTTCTGCTTGTCTCCAGGATTTCTTCTGTTTCCTGCTGTTTGCCCTCAGCTGGGCGTACCTGGGTCCTGCGACCTGGTTCCTGCTTTTTTCATGCCAATGCTTACCATCCTAGTGAAGAAGCAGGCTGGGGCTTAGACTTTGTTCCCCGGGGAACCCCAAGTTGGTAATCTACAAGGGCTCACTATTACAGGCTCTTGACACTGGAGCCATACCTTTTTCACATGTAACTGCTCATCTGAGCAGTCAAGATGTGACATCTCTTCTAAGTTTATGGTCTCATACAAACTGGCCAGAAATCATAGTACAGTGAGCAGCTGTGTCCAGAGGAGGCCGTTAGCCAGCTCTGAACACAGCAACTATTGCCCTGTGTGAAGGTAACCTTTTACTGTTGTCTCCAGAACAAGAACTGTGGAGACACCTATTTCCTTAATCCTACATACACTCATACCAATTTTTCATATGCACTTGACTTGAAAAATTGACATTATTGTTAACAAAATAAAGAGTGTGATGGTGCGCGGCGTCAGACCCCAGCCCTTCTCACCAACTTGTGACCGAAGGACCAGCCGATCCCAGACCACGCTGTCAGTTGTGTAACAATGCCACTCTCAGCTGCGCTGTGCACAAAGATTTTGCAGCTCGCTGGACCACAATCTATGTGCCAGCAGCCTGAGAGTGATTGTTACTGGGTCAGGTTAATTACGCAATTAACCCTTCACACTGCCACCACTACCTTTTTACAGAGAAGGAGGAAACTCACAAATCTTAGCAGTAACACTATGATATTAGTATAAGCGACTGTAACACACTGTCACCACAGACAGATGTATTCAGAGGGTTATACATACAGTAGCACTCTTCAGAGACAGGGATTCTTGGAAAATGGTGCAATTAAAATATTTACAGAAAAAGATGTAACAAATTCTCTCTCTCTCTATATAGAGAGGGAGGGGGAGGGAGAAGGAGGGGGAGAGAGAGGGGGAGAGGGGGGGGGGAGGGGGGAGAGAGGGAGAGCGCGCGCAATAAAACAGAGAAATAAAAGAAAGAAGTTTCAGAAGGCAGGATACTTGCAAAAGTCCATGGTTTGAGCAGAGTCCAATCATCTGAACAAAAAGGTTGCCTTTCTCCCAAAGATGGTTCCTGATGTTAAAAGGGAGAGATCTCTTACTTCTCTCCAGGCATGTCAGCCTTTTTTCTATTATCCCAAAGGGGTGTCTCCCAAAAGCAAAGAGCCAATTGCCTCATTTGGGGATGGCTGTTAGACGGGGACCCAGGTTATGACCAAATCCCTTCCAAGTTCATACTATGGTCAATAACCTTAAATAGGTACAGGTAGCATCCTAGCAACTGGCAGATTAATATGTAGAATTATATTCCGAATGTACAGAAACTAGACGGTAGCATATCCTGCCACTCCGGATAAAAGATATTGTTTTCTACCCTCTTGTAGACACTACATAGGGATGTAAGGTGTCATGTGACTCGTATTAAAATGACCTATCTGAATATATACTTTATATCAATGTGCCCAGTTCCTGTTGAAGTTTATGAATTTGTATGAAAAATGACTTAATGTGGGGTGTACGTTTTATGGCACCCTCTGCTGTCATGCTTACAGGTTGTGACCAACTGAGTTATGGTTTTACGACCGGGCAGAGGAAAGTCCAGCAGACATTCTGGGACCAGGTTAATTAGGGATTACAACCATGAAGCTTATTCAGCTGTGCCTTATGCACTTGTGACCCCAGTTCACATACAGACCACATTCCATTCAAAAAGGAGGGGGGTTACGGAGTGAGAATGAGATTTGCAGATTATGATACAAAATGGTTGTCAGCGTCCATGTGTCTAAGCGCGCAATTGCCACAAAGAGCATACAATATTTCTTCTGTAAAGTGTATTCTGTAGCAAATTGTGTGCAGCCTAAACAGGGAGGGTTGTTCAGGTGACTGGTGGTGCCCTTACATTCACTTTAAGTATTATGAACAGAAGACGAGGTATCATGGTAAAGCTATGAAATTTTGGACTCATTTGGAAAATGACCTTATCTGCCCTAAAATTACCTCCCTGCATTGGCTAGATCCTAACAAATGGCCTCCTAAAGACCTATTGCCCCTTACGATTCAGGCAACCTTACAGATATGGGATGCATGTTTAATTAAAGGTGTATTTCCTGCAGACTGAGCACCTTGACCCCATTGTTTGGACTTTCCTTCTTTTCCCCAACTGCAACGAGCTCAAAATTCCTCAGTTTGCGGTACCAGCAAGATTACCCTCTTCTGAGCCGTACCCTTTGTGGCCGGACCCTTGCCTCCCTCTCTAGGATTCTCCCAACATGCCACTTGTCGAGTGCATGGTTAGAGTATACGCAATTACAACACTTCTTGGGAACACTGTCCTTCATTGATTCTCTGACACGACCTTTATACTGACATTGAATCTTTATTATCCTGATCTCTTAAGCTCGACCATAGATCTCACAGCTATACCAGATCTTTCTGAAGGAGTCTTACCCGGACCCACTTCCATACCTTTCAAAGTATGAACAGGAATTACAAGTCTCACTGGAAGAAATGGAATGGGACAAAGTACTAGCTATCTCACATAAGATGTCATTTCTTTCCCAGGCGCAAGAGTGTAATTACCGTATATTAGCCAGGTGGTATTTCTGCCCTATACTTCTACATAAAATTGGTTCATCTGTTCCTGACACTTGGTGGTGGTCACAGGCTCCAGGCACCATGACCCATATTTGGGGCACATGCCTGAAAATTCTCCCATTTTGGGATAACATTTTACACTTGTTTGACAAATTTTTTGTTGGTAAAACTCCCAACAAACTACAGATCACGATATTGTCCATGCTGCTAGGCTTCATTATTCAAATTAAGAAAAGCTTAGTAGGCATTTCATCACCGCTGCCCCGTTCTGTAATCGTTAGACATTGGTGACAGGCCAAGTTACCTTTGCTAGCCGAATGGGCTTGTAAAATGGACATAATTGACTGACTATGTGGAATGTATAACTGTGTGGGATGAGGATAAAACCGAATCCTACAATCTTATGTGGATGGTATGGTCTCATTTCAGATACTTCTCTGAATTTTACTTATTCATCGCATCAAAAATGTGAAGACATATTTGCTTCGGATAACCTCCCATTGGCTCCCCCCCCCCCCCCCCCCCTTTTTTTTTATCTCTTTTTTGCTCCTTCATCTCTTCTCTTTCCCGTTCTTCTCCTTCTGTCCTCTCTACATACGATATCAGGCCTGGCCATATTACCTGCAAGAACGTAACTTCATTTTGCAGCTTGGGCCAGTGGGTCCTTCATTTAACAAGTACCCTTTCCTTGTTGGCATTGTATCTAACACCGTTTAGTAGGTATAAACCACCTAAAGGTTTTGATAATGTACCTATTATGCAAGCTCTGCTGATAAAGCGCAGCACTATCTTCTGTTCTGCAATATACTCTGTCATAATCCAGAGCTGTCAGAATTTAGTTGTATTTGCCTAAGCAATATCTGTTTCTGTTTTGTTTGCATTATTTTAATAAAACTTGATTAAACATGAACAAAAGTCGAACATTCATACTTTGAATATCATATTTCCACAGCTTCTTACAAAAAAAAAATCGTACTGTTCCATTTGACTCGAGTATTTTAATGACACAACTGCATGTGTTTACCTTGTTAAGTGAATCAGTTTTTCTCATGCAGGGTCACTTTAATATAGCTCTCCCTGGCAGCATATAGTTACTGTCACAGATCAGTGACAGTAACTATATGTCACTGGTCTGGTACTTGTTCCATAGATCAGTAGCAAGACTATTCTGCCACAAACATGCAATGCTTTTTTTTTTTTTTTTTTTGTCACTTGTAGTTCTACAAACATATATGGTGTAGTCTTACCTCCATGTGGTACAGGACTGGATTGGTGTCTTTGCATTTCACCTGCTGATTAATTTGCTTGAGGTGATTGTAGCCGTATTAGTGCATTTGCGACAAACAATTGAGTACTGTCCGTGATACTTTTTTTATTTGCACTAACATACAATTTTGAGGACAAGCTTTCGGGGAGAGTCCCCTTCTTCAAGGTTCAAGGTATAGTACTGCTTGGACCTTGAAGAAGGGGACTCTCCCCAAAAACTTGTCCTCAAAATTTTATGTTAGTACAAATAAAAAAAGTATCACGGACAGTACTCAATTGTACCTGCTGATTAATAAAGCTTGTTTTAAGGCCACTTCATGTCCAGCCTTCCAATCTACCTCTCTATTTAAACTGTGCTCAGACCACCTTTCGCTGCTGGAGCAACATGTTGTCTGTCTAGCTACAGGCCCCATGTTCAATGGTTCTGAGTGGCAAAGGCTTCCATTTCCTTTGTTCCAAGCCTTCCTGTTATCCCAGTGCTTCCAGTGATCCCTGCACTTTGTAGCTTCCAATGACTTATTTTCTCACTCCTGTGTACCTGACACCATAGGGCTGCAAGAGACCCTCACACCAGAGTTCCTGTGATCGTAGCATCTCAGTGCTCCCATTGAACTCTGTACATTCCTGTGACCCCACAGTTTACAGTAGCCCCTGCAGGCTGTGCCTTCAGTAACCCCTGTGTCCCCAGGTGTCTTCAAATCCAGTGTCCCCCAATTTTTGGTGCCCCCAAGTCCTTGTTTCTTTGGTTATGTACTTTGACCTTCTATTTGACCTTGTCTTCTACTTGCCTTGCACTTTCGCCTGTCCCTATTTACTTTGGGTTCTTTCCCTGGTCAGCTTCCATGTATGCAAGTGTCCGAGGGTTGCAACCTGGCAGCTGCCCTGGAGCAGAGCCTATCACCCTTTTGGGGGATACACTGGTGAATACCAAGTGGCTCTAAAAACTCTGTGCTTTGGCTCTTTTTAAGGTTCATACCTCTAGCAATCATGCAGATAACCGAAAGGGTCCACAATCCCCCTATCTTTTAAGAATTACCTTCTTTTCAGACTTTTCTTGTTTTCTGTCGGCAGGAGCAAAGGAAAATCCTGTGTAGACTACAGTTTGCCAGAGTCGTAGCTTTTGGAGGACTATGGACTCCCCTAAACAGCCAAATCAAGGGTTTGCATTAAAGCTGAACTTCGGGCAGATTTAAAAAAAACACCATTCAATGCATTCTTTCAAAAGAAATAATTTTGCCTATCTTGATATTGGTCTCCTGTTGTATCTTATACAGCAGAATTTTTGACAGGGAATATGCTAACAGAAGGGCAGAGTGGAGTTGATGCTTTGTCAGTGTATTTCAGCTCCTTTATTATCCACCTGGCAGGCTACAGGTGGGGAGGGACCACCACTGTATTCCTTAGTTATTACAGAGGCAGTAGTGTCCACTTTCTGGCTCTTCTGTCCAGTAGACACATAATTGCCTTCTTAGCTGTCAAATGATTTGTATCTCCTTTTTTTTTTTTTTTTTTTTTTTAATCTGTTTATTAAAGGAATACAACATGCTGCACATAAAGAACAAAAAACAAGCCGCAAACAATGGTTCACATATATAATACCCTTGCAGGGGCGGAGCAATGCAGAGATATACACAAATAATTTGCCTTTCAAATGTGTATTTAGCTGTTTACCTAAAGTTTTAAGAGAAATGTCTGCATAACTGTAGTATGGCAGTTCTGAATGAACCTACCTCCTCCATTGGCTCATTATACTTTATTGTACATTATTTGTTAACCTGTGCTACTGTCTTGGACAGCATACAATTGAACCTTGGTGTAGGAGTTGTTGTAAAAGTAGTAGTTATAGGACACATACTTATCCAGAGCCTGTCATCCCATGCAAGATAATGTGATTAATTGAAGGGATCAATGTTTATGCAATTTTCTAGTGTGAAATCATTAACTTATCCTAGTAACTGTTGCTGATTGTTCACTAGAGCCAGTGCAGATTGTGCTTCTCATGTCAATACCATTTTGTGAGTTGAAAAGGAATACGAAATATAAATGCTGCATAGTCAACAGTGTGTTGTTGATAGAAGCATTATCTCAATATATATCTAACCGCAGCTGTAACCTTCTGTTCTATTGTAGGAAGGCACAACACCAGCCGTTCTCAGTGGAAACCCAGGTTATGTATTTGGGATGCCTCTAATTGCTGGCTTTAAGTTGCCACAATATCCTTTTTTATATTTTATTAAACCTTAAGGTATTTTGGCATGACTGGTTTGCATTGTAAATAACAGTATTACACTATCACATAACACATTACAGTATTGTTGGTTATGTTGGCAATAAAGGTACTTTCCTGAAGAAATCTCATACAGGGCACATAGCCCACCTATACAGGCTTCCAGTTTTTCATCCATGCAGAGGCGTCCCTAGTTTTGGTGTCACCCGGTGCGGTAACACTTGGTGACACCCCCTCCGACGATCCTCGCAGAATGGATCGGATCTGCGGATTGAGCAGAATGGATCGGATTCCGATCCATTATGCTCAATCCGTAGATCTGATCCATCCTGTGGGGATCGTCGGCTTTCTTTACAACTTACATTTTCTTGGAGCGGGTCCGGTGTCACCCCGTATAGGTTGCATGCCGACGATCCCCGCAGGATCGTCGGCATGCAGCCTATACGGGGTGACACCGGACCCGCTCCAAGAAAAGGTAAGTTGTAAAGAAAGCTGATGATCCCTGCAGGATGGATCCGATCCATCCTGCGGGGATCTTTGGCTTGCTTTACAACTTACTTTTTTGTGGAGGGGGTCCGGTGTCACCCGGTGCAGACTGCACCCCCCGCAACTGCCTCGGGACGCCACTGCATCCATGCATTGCATTTCTGTCCCAGTGCCTTTTGTTCGTGTTCTTTACTTGTTTTGTTTGTATTGCAGAACAGGTATCCCCATTGCTGTTCCTCGCCTACAGATAGACAGATGTGTAAAAATATCAGAACTAAGAATTTTGTACAGCCATCTGTCAGGTTCAAATCTACCTTGGAAGGATTAATCATATTGGTGACACCTAAAGCAGAGGGCGGGGAACTAACCCATTGATACTTTCTGGCGGCAGACCCACTGAACCTTCATTTGAGGAACTCCCTGTAATCTGGCTGCAATGTATTAAACAGAACTCCGATGTAGGTACAATGAGTTTCTTTAGTAGCGGTCATTCATTTTGCTTGTTGCCTAGATCTGCTCTGTAAGCCTGCCTGTTTTGCAGGGTGAAAAAAAGTATACACCATAGATATTACAGCATACAGTGGCAAGTAAAAATATGTGAACCCCTTGGAATTACTAGTTTTCTGCAGTAGTTTGTATGTAATCTGATTCTCATCTAAGTCGCAACAATAGACAAATGCAGTGTGTTTAAGCTGATAAAACACAGACAATTCTAATTTCTCATGTCTTTATTTAACACACCCATTAAATATTCCTAGTGCTAGAGGAAAAAAGCGAGCCTATAGATCTATTAAAAGCTGATTGGAGTCAATAGTTTTCACACTAGGAGTCCAATTAATGATATGAGCTTGGTGGTGGGGTTTAGCGCTACTTTGATAAGAGACACTCAAACATTTTAAGATTGCTGTTCATATGACGCATCAGCTTAAGTGAACCATGCATCACAAAAGGGAGCTCTCTGAAGACTTACGATGAAGAGCACTTGATCTGCATAAGGCTGGAAAGTGATACAAAGCAATCTCAAAGTGTTTACGCATCCGACAGTCAAGATAAATTGTCTATAAATGGAGACAGTTTAGTACTGTGGCTACCCTTCGTAGAGGTGGACACCAAGCAAGATGACTTCCAAGGTGAGGTAAAGAAGAACGTACGGGTAATGGCTAAAGGCTTGAAGACATCACTGGAACTGGAAAATATCCCTGTTCATGAATCTACCATATGTAAGTCTTTAAACAGGCAGAATGTCCATGACAGGACACCATGGAGGAAGCTGCTGCACTCCAAAAAAAACATTGCTGTGCACCTGGTTTGCCAAACAGCACGTTGGCAAACTGCAGTGCTACTGGGAAAATGCTCTGTGGAATATTGAAACAAAAGTTTAGCTATTTGGAAGAATACTCAGAACTATGTATGCTTCAAAAAGGATACATCTTACCCAAGATAAAAACATCATCTCAATGGTGAAGGGAACAACATGATTTGTGCTTGCTCCGCTGCATCAGGGCCTGGACCATTTGCCATCATCGAAGGGAAAATTAATTCCCAAGTTTGACCAAAATATCCTACAGGATAATAACAGGATGGCTTTCCGTCAGCTGAAGCTTGGTAAAAGTTGGGTGATGCAGCAGGGCAATGACCCTAAGTGTCGAGGTAAATCCACCGCAGACTGACTTCAGTAAAAGAGAATGCGCCTTTTGGAGTGACCCAGTCAGAACTCCATAGAGATGCTGTGGAATGACCTCAAGAGTCTTTGCTTCAGCTCAGACACATCTGTAGGATGTCCGGTGTCAGTTTTGTAAAGGGGAATGGCAGGTCTGATCCAGAGATGCTGAAAGCACTTGCTTGAAGCCGTTGCTACCAAAAGACATTCGACCAGCTATTCAGTTCACTTAACTCTTCCTCTAGCACTGTGAATGTTTAATGGCTGTGTTCAATAAAGACACAAAAAATTAGAATTGCTTGTATGTTACACAACGGAGACACAAGACTGTTAACATCCACCTGCCCATAGAGCTGCATGGAGCTTCCGATCGGGTTTGCTTGAGAAACTGACAGGCATTCCTGAGTGGAAAGCCCATGTGAAAGGGGCCTTACCTTTAGAAAGAGAGTTCACAGCTGACATACAGGATAATGCTCTCTATTTGTAATCTTTGGGGTCACAGACAGAAATAAGGTAGACCTTTTAACTTATACCCACTCTATCCATAACAAAAAATTTTATTAAATTATTTGTTTGCCTAGAAATCTCCTGACAATTTATTATTACTATACAGGATTTATATAGCGCCAACAGTTTGCACAGCGCTTTACAATATGAAGGTAGACATTACAGTTACAATACAATTTGGTACAAGAGGAAACAGAGTACCCTGCTAGTTAGAACTTACAATCTTGGAATTTAGAACCAAGTCTAAGTCTCCAAAGCACAGAGAGAATATGTTGCCTCTGAAAAGGAGCCGGCCACACTCCTATATATTCTAAAGTCTGAGACCTCTACTCCCTGTCTTAAAAAACGTTTTGTACAAATAAACACTCTAATGGTTTGCAGGATTCCCAACAGTTTGCTTAAAAAAAAAAAAACACAGAGGGGGTTCTTCCTGATTGTACTTGCTCATGGGAAATAGTGCCCATCTCTCAGGAAGGAATATTGTTTACTGGGCATACACAGTTTGGGTGTCAGACAATTTCCTGATCAACTGAGCCCAGGAGATGCAACGTGCACAGTGATGTCAGGATGCTTGACAGGCGTTAAGTTTCCTTTCCCCGCCACTATTCATTTTCACTCTGTGAGGGGAGGTGGAACCCTATAATGCTGCTCTGCCTTCATCTGTCCCCTCTAAGCTGCTCAAGCTATGTTGCACAGGCCACACACCAGCCATCCACACCACACTGCTTGCTGTGCTGCCATTAGGAGCAGTCTGACTGGGACCAGGGAGTCAGCACTTCTCTGCTAAGCAGAGCACTAACTGGGGCTAGACTGACAGGGGACAGCCTGGGCTGGGCTGTTAGCTGCTGCCATTAACAACTTTTACCCAGCATCTACCTTTGTATGCAGGCTGTTGACAGCTGTCATGGAGATGGAGCTGTTGTGTGTGTGAGAATATATACTGGTGCAGGTAAAGCTCCTTCACACAACACACCAGGACCTATATTAGTGTGTATAAAATGTACATGACTCATTTGAAATCTTGTAAAATATATGCAATTATATTTCTTTTACATAAGGACAGCTAATTATTGAGAGTTTCTCTGGCACTACAAACCTAACATGCTCGAACACTGCTCTGCACTGCTATAGCTGACAACATGCTGAAATCATTTCCCAGGGGCTCTGCTCATTTGCTGGTGATTTTAGCTTATTGCTCACAAGTTCTTTTATAGTACTATAGGAATATGTATACCCAATTATGACTTAAATTCAGCATGGGTATGGTGTTCTCTGGTAACCCCTTCTCCCAGTGGCCCATTTAAGTAGGCTTCAGTGCCCGGGAGGTGGCACGGCTTTTGTACACACTGTGATGGGCTTTAACAGCAGTCACATGATCTGGAGCCCGTCCTGCTGGCACACGATCAGATGCCTTAACTAAGACCTGTCAGTGATTGCTCAGTCAGTGTTTTGGGAGTGTGCAGTGAACATGCTGTTTGCACACAACCTCATTCCACCATGGACATGTGGGCATTATACCCTATCTTTCCTACTGCCACTTGTGTGTTACACAGTCAACAAGAGGTTAACCTGCAAATCATTGTACCTAACACAAGTCTATTGACACCCATGTGATGGTGAATATTGGTCTAGCAATGTATAATCCCTCTTTCTTTTTTTTCCCTTTTTTTTTTTTTTTTTTTTTTTTTCCCTCCAACTGACACTGGAATTTTTATCCTCCACTACTGTTAGCCCCATATTTTATTGCAATACACTATGTGTGCCACTTAAAAAATCCAAAACGAACAACAGATTGCAAAAGAAAGGACAAACCTGCAAAAATTCTTCAAATATATTAATAGTAAAAAGGTAAGGTCTGAGTATGAAAACAGTAGACTAAAATATTAGGGAAAAACAATGCGGCGCTAAGGGTCACAAATATATAAACAGGGATAAATAGTCACACAAGGCAAGATGTATGACCTAAATAGACATACATGTATACATATAAATAAAGGTATCATAAGTGTGAAGTGAAACACACAAAAATGGCAATCTCATGCATTATAGTGATTCAAGGTAAACAATGTGAATAGTGTCCATGTGCATATAGCAAATTCCATGCAGATGTGAGCTGCAAGTGCCAATCCTCTATTGCTGGGGTGCCCCCTCACCTTCCTGCCCAGGCCCCTAAGGACCAATGAACCTTTGGTAATACAATGGGTATCCCTCCGGATGTTTAGGTGGATCTCTCCGACAGTAGTGGTGGGACTCCCTCCTCTTGGCTATACCATAAATCGTTGGTGGTATCAGTGTATGGCTCTCCAAGGCGATCACTTGTATGCCTTTTTTTTCCGCATCAGCCTTTTTGAGAAGCTATTTCTCCACAACTCACATATCACATTTCCTCAGTTCAGCACATAGTATGTTTCCTCAGCAGCCATTGTATTACCAAAGGCTCATTGGTCCTTAGGGGCCTGGGCAGGAAGGTGAGGGGGGCACCCCAGCAATAGAGGATTGGCACTTGCAGCTCACATCTGCATGGAATTTGCTATATGCACATGGACACTATTCACATTGTTTACCTTGAATCACTATAATGCATGAGATTGCCATTTTTGTGTGTTTCACTTCACACTTATGATACCTTTATTTATATGTATACATGTATGTCTATTTAGGTCATACATCTTGCCTTGTGTGACTATTTATCCCTGTTTATATATTTGTGACCCTTAGCGCCGCATTGTTTTTCCCTAATATTTTAGTCTACTGTTTTGGTGCCGTGGTTGTGGCATGTTCAGTGCTGGCTGCTTAATTTGAAAATTTTTTTGCTTTGTGGCGCAGGAGTTAGCTTTATCTATTAAGGTCTGAGCATGTAGGCCCTTTACAAAATAATCTAGAGTGGGTGACTGGGGACAAAGAGAAGGCAAATTTTAATAAATACCTTCTTCAGCTCTGTGTATACAAAGGAGCATTGTGGAGCTCATGTCCGTAATGGGGATGATATTGACATAGCCCCAAATGAATCACTATGACTCAAAACTGATATGGTCGAGAAATATTTAGACAGAATAAAGGTGAATAAAGCACCTGGACCAGATGGTATACATCCATGTATCTTAAAAGAACTGTGCTATGCCATTTCAAAGCCATTGTTTCTATTTTTTATTTATTTTTATTACTGGCATAGTACCACTGGATTGGTATAATGTAAATGTTTTGCCAATATTTTTTAAAGGGATCAAAGCCTTTACCAAATAACTATAGGCCTGTTAGTTTAACTTCTGTGTTTGGAAAGAGTTTAATAAAAGACCACATAGGTGGGTTCTTGCTAGAAAAAAAATATTTTAAGTAACAGGCAACATGGATTCATGAAAGAAGGAAGTTGTCAAACAAATCTGATTTCTTTTTATGAGGGCATAAGCAAAAACATAGACAAAGGAGAGGCTGTGAATGTAGTATACTTAGATTTCACAAAAACGTTTGACACAGTTCCCCACACATGGCTAATCTAGAAGGTAAAGCCTACAGGCTTAGAAAAAATTAGTTTGTAAATGATAGAAAACTGGCTAAAAGATCGTATTCAGAGAGTAGTGTTTAATGATTCATGCTCTGAATGGTCTGAGGTTATTTGTGGTTTTGGAACCCTTACTTTTTTAACATATTTATAAATGATATGTCTGGGATTAACAATACCATTTCAGTCTATGCAGATGACACCAAGCTGTGCCGTGGAATAACGTCCTTACAGGATGTCTTCAATTTACTAGCCAACGTCAGTGCATTGTTTAATTGGGCAACTGTGTGGCAAATGAGGTTTAATGTTGATAAATGTTAAGTTATGTACTGGGGGGGGGGGTAAAAACACGCAGCATACATGCTAGGAGGAGAACAGCTAGGGGACTCCATGGTTGAGAAGGATCTGAGGGTTCTGGTAGATCATAGACTTAATAATGGCATGCAATGCCAAGCTGTGGTTTCCAAAGCGAGAAAAATCCTCTCTTGTATTAAGGTCATAGAGGGATATATCATTTTCCCCCTGTACAAATAATTAGTAACACCTCATCTGGAATATGCAGTTCAGTTTTGGGGACCAGTTTACAAAAAGGATATTGGGGAACTGGAGAAAAAAAAGGTGCAGAGAAGGGCAACCAAATTGATAAGAGGCATAGAGGAGCTCGGCTATGAGGAAATATTAGAGAAAATAATTTTTTCTTTCTTGAGAAGAGGAGATTAGGGTGTATATGATCAACATTTATAAATACATAAGTGGTCCATATAGTGAACTTGGTGTAAGTTATATACTTTAAGGTCATGACAGAGGACAAGGGGGCACTTTTTACATCTGGAGGAAAATAGATTTATGCTTCAAATACAGAAGGGCTTCTTCACAGTAAGAACTGTGAAAATGTGGGATAGACACCCTCAAGAGCTGGTTCTGGCCAGCTCAGTAGATTGTTTTAATTATGGCCTGGATTCTTTCCTAGATACACATAATATATCTGGAGGCTACTATTTATAGGTATAGTTGATCCATGGAATATCCGATTGCCTCTTGGGGGATCAGAAAGGAATTTTATTTATCCCCTGCTGGAGCAAATTGGACCATGCTTTATCTGAGTTTTTTGCCTTCCTCTGAATCACCTGTGAGTATTTGGGGGTGTGTGTGCGTGTGCGTGTACGTGTACAATTGTATATATCATTTTTCTATTGGTTGAACTGGATGGATTTGCATCTTTTTTCAGTTAGATTAAGTATGTAACTATGTTATACTCCCAATTTGGTGCAGCAGGCTCCAAATGCTGCAGTGGTCTTCTGCCTTTCCCAAATCTCAGGTTCTCTAACTTTCAAAAGTTCCCAGGTATGATAATTGGTGCAAAAGAAAATAGAAATTAACTTGATTAACTTTTAAGTAAAAGTGAAAAGTATCCACAAAATACTTAATTTTTGTTACACGCACTGTTTGTTTGATAACTAAAGTGTATGGTGCTGTATTCTCCCCCCCCCCCCCCCCCCAAAAAAAAAAACAAAGTACACTAAACTTCAGCATTAGGCGTGTCTTTAGTTAGTTCTTCTAAGACATTATTTTTTTTCTTCATGCTCCTATATGTACTGTAATTTACCAGAAAATGCTGTAATGTGGTCTGGAGTTTTAAGATTATATTAATATTTGTCAGTTACAGTTGGAGAGTGTTTCCTTCATATGTCCTAATGTCTTACTTTTTCCAAACCAGGTGATCTTATGGATGATCAGTATGCTTTCTGTATACATACACACCAGCATTGTTTTGTCTTTAGTAAACAATAGGTACAAGCCCTGGAATTCCTTAACCATGAATGAACTGATGTGAGGTTTTATTGGAGAAGGTAGAAATGTCTCTCAGTGGACAAAGTTTTCTAGGTTGATGTCACTCTTCATGTACTAGCAATGGGAAACCTTTAGTGTGGTCATGTGGGGACACAATAATAAGTCATAGCATCAGAATACACACTTGTAAATATACAGTTAGGGGCCTCAATAGCCAAGCACACAGAGGGCTCTTATCTAAGTCCCTAGATCTCATGGGATCACCTAAAACTTCTACTGTTTATTGTTGATGACCGTATTCCAACATGATTACCCCGCTGGGTATGATATAAACATTCTTTGGGGAGCACAGTAGTTTTGGAGTTGCCAATGTGTCCTTGCAGAGCTGAAATCTGAGATTTGTTTCAAAGATACTGTTGGCATGTCTGACTTATATTTTTGGGGCTTTATACTCCCCACAATCCAGAAACCTATTGGTAGCTATTACTGTGGTGGAGATATTAGGTTATATACTACTTAACGTGGCAGGAATTAAGGTGATTGCAGCTCTGGGACAAGGTCATCCATTGCCCAGGGCGAAAATACCAAACTACACCCCCCCCCCCCCAGTTCTTATGAAATAGTCATTTCAAAACAAGAAAATATTTAAAACAATACAAATTAAATTAGATTTAATGAATTCAAAACAACATTGACTCACATATTTTAACTATATGTATTTTATTAGAGGAATTTAAGAAGTGCAGATGAACTCGCGACCAGATAAGCAGGGATTAAAAAAATGTGGGAGGGTAGGGGGAAGAGTGAAAATCTGCAATTCTAGTCTGGACCAATTCTGACATTCCTCTCACACGTATAAAAACCATCATCACTTGGAACCCGCAAACACTATATATTTTTAAGCAGAGGCCGTAGAGAATTAAATGGTGGGCATTGCATCAGTGGTCAATGGCAGTACATTAACCACCTTCTTGTAATAGCATTGTTAATTACCTAGCATCCCCAAAGAGTTAACCACTCCAGCCAGTTCCCGCTGACAATATAGCACAACATTGCACTCTCAATTTGGACAGGACACAAGGAAGCAGGATCTGCCAGCCCCATGCCTTAGTTAAGTTATTACTCACTTGCACACTGTTCCCTCTCAGCACTTTCTCTTCCTCTTCAGTCCGGCCTCCGAATAACGTCACGGCGGGCCCTGGACTAGAAGGTATTTGTCAGGAGGAGATGGCTCTGCCTGACAGGGAAGAGAATGTTTATTGGTTGTAGACCTGTACTGGTCCAGGTTAAATTGACTTTAGCAGCCCACTGTCTGCACTGTGAGAGACTTCACCTGTCCCCCTCCCACTGTAAATTGTTGCACCTAGGGCTACTGCCCCCTTACGACACACACACACACACACACCCCCCCCCCCCCCCCCCCACACACACACACACACACACACACGATTTGCATTCTGAAATTCACTGAAAAATATATTTTGTAGTATAAATTGGAGGGGCAGGAGATAAAAGTGTGTGCGCTCTATACATATTCAGATATTTGTAACACTGAGTAAATAGGCAATTCTTCAAATTTAGATGCTTATGTTTCTCATTGTACATCTTATTTCTCCTTAATGCACCTCAAATCTGGCATTGTTAAAAGTACCAACAGATTTGGGCAACTAATGCTGCTCAAAAGCTCCATAGACCAGAGCTGTCTATCCGAAGAAGGGAAGCGAGTTGCCGTATTATTTGGGTATAACATGATGTCTGGCTGCAAACTACGGTAAATAAAAAAATATATATTTTTTTTTTTTTTTTTTTTACTCGATATCAGTTTCTGCTTTTTATTTAATTTTGTTTCTCTTTCTGTATTTTACAGTTTAAATAGTTTAAATTATACTGTAGCTGCATTTTGCCAGCTTGTCGGAGATACCACTTTGAATGCACTTAAAGGGCAGCAGTTTCCAGAGTATGTGGCCCAGTTTGGGAATACCCAGCCGGAGAATGTTTTAGATTGGGTGGCAATCAATATGGTCAGCCGTGGAGAACAAGCCAGTGCCCAGGTATCCTCTTTGTCTATTAAAAGTATGCAGTTACAACCTTCCAAAGTTTGCCTTGTCTCTGATTATTTTTTTTTTTCTCCCATTTAAATCAGTTCAGTGGCAGATTCCTTACTGTTGTGCGGTAGAATGAGCATGTTCCATTAAGTGTATGTAAAGCTTAACAATACATTTTATCTTATTTGCTCCCTTCTGTTAAATATACTATTAAAAAATATTTGTTATATCTAATTGATAAGTGCAGAAAAACTACTTGTTGATCTTACCATAAATCTTGGGTTGATGACTTTCTATGCATGATACCTGTGCTTGATTGTAATCCGTTAGCATTGTTCCTAGCTATCTTTTAAAAGTACAGAGCAAGTACTTGCTTATAGAAGACAAAAATTGGTAAATATGAGCTCTGCAAGTATTTTACAATGGTTAAGTGTTTTACTAAAAACTGCTATTCTTTCTTGGGAAAGGAACTTGCAGCTTACAGATTGCAAGCAAAACCACTTCTTGGTTAGTTCTGCTTGACTGAAGTTTGTGAAAAGAAAACCATTTTTATACAGTTGTCGTGACAGGATGTCATGCTTTGGATTGCTTCTTTGTTATGCATTTTTCATTTTTATTACCAAACTTCAGACTCTCATTGATTGCTTCTTTTTCTTAAAGGCAGGTATGTGTAAAATCCCAGTTTCCTTGGAGTTGGAAGTCAGGTGGACGAAATATGGTTCTTTAGTAAATCCTCAAGCACAGATTGTGAATGTGACAGAAAAAATCTCTTATGCATTTATTCCCGTGAGTGTTTTATTTTTAAATTGATTTTAATCTCATCTACACATGTCTGCGTGGGATATCCCCAAGGATTTTATGAGGGGTAATACTGTAGGATACACAAGGCAGGATTACAAAAGGCTGCTGTTATGCAATCTGCAGTCTTTACACCATATAGAGACCAGTATTTTCACTCGTATTTCATTCAGCAAATATCCTTTATCCAACTGCATTGGATCAGCACACTACTGATACTTTACTGATCTAATGATCTGGGCAAATATCGATCTATGGCTGTTCCTGTTTAGACAGGCTTGTTCAATCAGCGCTACAGCCAATCGAAGTAATCCCTGCTGTCAAAATACAATATCACAATGGGGAGGATTCCTCCCCAGTTGTAAAGACTGACCTGAATTTTCTAGCTACTTTTTTTTTCCTAATCAAGATTCGTCTACTCAGTTGGTGGTGGTTTTAGCCATTGTAAAGATATATAGTATATAAATGACTTTAAATATGCATCCCAGGAATTGTTCATCCACTAAAAATTGCACATTTTATTGTTCACAACATACTAAAATCCACAGAACATATAAAATAAAAAGGATCTCCTTATTCGTTATAATAAACATTTGTTTGAAAGCCACAGATAGCTCGATATGGTATATCTTGCTCAGTCTGCACGTTTTGTGATGATCCTGCCTCTTCAAACCTGAAAGTATGCTTTCATACAAGTTCTGATAAAAAAAAGTTAGGATCCATGTACAAAAAGTGACAATAAAGTTGCATAAAATGTATATAACAAATCCCTTACATTGAAATGAAAATCAACTGTCCACATAACAGAAGAGAGAAATATGAGAGAAAAGAGGAAAAAAAGAAATACTAATATTACTACCACTACAACCCGCATTACATATCAACCTGACTCTTACCTAAAACACTACCACAGAAAAGCAGTCATCCAGTGGTTGGTCCTCTGGCTGGTTGCACTCTCCCCCCTGGGAGCCTGTGGGGAAGCACAGAGAACCAAAGAGAGGTACAGATGGACCTGATTTAAATAAATATAAATAGGGACATGCAAATACCCCATCTCTCTTACTCAGATCTAAAATATCAGATAAACCCATATGGAAAGTTACCTAGAAACAAAAGTCCCAAAAAAAGAGTGAGTCAAAACTACAGGAAGAAATACTACAGGAAGAAACTGAGTTCATAACCCATAGCACAGGGACGATTCCAAACAGGAAGGAACAAAGCTCCCAAATGTTCCATTAAGCACTAACTATATACCAAAGTAATAAAGATTGTCCTTAGCCTGGCTTTTGGACTGTATTGCAGCTGGACCCCACTGGACATACCAATACATGGATGGGGGCTCTGTGATTTCTAGTTCAAGACCTGCTGTAATTGCCTCTAAGTTTGCCTTGTCTCTGGAAACTCACTTTGTTATTAGGCTGTTCAGACGAGGAAATGGAAACGCTGTCCCTTGTTTTTATTGTCACTGGGTGCCAATATTTTCCATTTTCTGCTGGCTTTGCTGTAGATGGGGGTTAATGCTGTGGGACAAATCTGCAGCTTTGTCTGGTAAAGACCCCTTTTTGTTTTTTACAAAGGAAGGAAGGAGGCTCTGGGTCTTAACACCACCTTTTCTATGGTAGTGTTGGTCTCGCCTCAATTGGAACCTTATTCTTCCATCTTCCTGTCCAGATAAGAACATCAGAAGGTAATTTTTTCTTCACTGTCTCAGTGTTGTTCATGCTATGTAGATTTACAGCCACTGCTTCCATTAGAAAGAATGACTAACTCACTCTTTATAATTTTTAATGCTTCCCATAAAAGGGAACCAGCTTTTCGTCACCAGTGTTCATGGCTTGGCCATGCCACCTTTTTTTGTTAACGCTCACTCTACTAGATATGTAAGTGCCTCTTTGGCTTTTAGCATCAAGGAACTGTTTCCCAAATTTGCAAGGCTGCCACCTGGTCGGTCTTCTGTACACAAGTTTTATTAGGTATTATTATGTCCACTCATTTGATGCCACTCCTCGAGCATAAGATCTTTCAGACAGCTGTTGTTCTGCATGACAATTTTGTTTTATTTTGTGGGCCTGTTAGTGTTTTTTGTTACTAGTGCCCAACCCTCAGTTGGACTGCTGTTTGGGCATCCCAGTTGTCTCTGAATTCTGTATCATTTACTAAACTAGAAAAAAAAACCCAGATTTTTGTACTTGATATAAAATCCATTTCTTCGAGTTAATTATGGGATACAGGTCCCACACCTTGGTTTTATGATCTTTCTCCTATTACTGCTTTTGTAAACACTGAGGCACACTGAGAGTTGAGATGTCATCAGGAGTGGTGCAGAGGGGAAAGTAAGAGAATTGGGTCTCGCTGCTCATTGAAAGCTGGCAGTGGGAGTTTTATTGTGTACGGAGTTCAGCTTTAACTGGCCGCATAAATAACAGCCCAATTGTGCAATCCCCCGATTGTATGCCTTAATTGACATTAACAATTGTGCTTGCCTAATTTGTTAGATAACATAACCTCTTGAAAATATTAATCTCCCAACAGCTTCAGTGAATTAGTTGTAATAATATATAGCTATCAATGTTCTTCGTTTCCAGAATAACTTGGGAGGTGACAGGACTGTGCAGATCTCTACTGCTGTGACTTTCCTTGACGTGTCTCAGGCTGCAAGCCCTGGTTACAAAGCTCAGCCGACCATTGACGCCAAGTTGCCCTTTGATTTCTTCTTCCCATTTGTATAAAAAACTAGCAGGTAACTCATTAGTTGGTAATGTTTCTGCTTTTAAAAACTTTGTGATCCATTAATGATAAGACACAGTAGGATGCATAATCATTACAGGATGCCTGCTGCACTCATGATACTCTGAAGTAGTTTTAAACTTTTTTTTTTATGTTTTAAAGATGAGTTAATTTGCTTAGTAAAATCTTGAAGCGAAGCTGTCATATTGTTGCAGACATGACTCAGTAGTGTAGATAGAGCGGTTAGGAAAATATTTTCTTTACTCAGGGAAGACGGTTTTAATGTCACACTTTGAAAACAGCATGATATGGAATGGAATCCCCCTTTATTTTTAAAAGCATAGTACAGTGTTAGGGATTTGGATGGACTGGGAAATAGTCAGAACTTCAGTTTGGCTTTTGCGGCAAACCAGGGCCCTGTTGGAAAGATTTACCCTGCTCTGGTGATAACAGTAATTCAGAAAGTGCATGCAAATCTGCAACAAATACCAAAATAAAAATCCAAGAGGATTTCTAGGCTTCCCCTATTCTACTAAAGAAAAGCATTCTAATGCAGGCCATAGACTGTTCGTTTATTGGCCAATTTTTCATCCTAAAGAATAGTCGGCCGATTTTCGCACTGTTAGTGGGTAAATGGCATCGCTGATTTTCGCGGTTCCTCCTCATTTCTTATATCGCTCATGCTGGAAAATTTGCAAAAAATAACCGATTTTCGCAATCATTGGAGGCAACAGAATGACCAATGTTTCATTTTTCGGATGAAAAATCGACCAATAAACGAACCGTCTATGGCCTGCATTAGTTCTGTCTGAAGCAGTTGAAGAATTCCTTTCACTTCCTGTACTGGTAAAATGTTGTCAGCAGGACAGTAAATAAGGACAAATCTATCGGAGTCCCAGACAGCAATAGAAACCTTGGCAAGTTTCTAAACCTTCCCCATTTTTTTTTTTTTTTTCCAAAACTAAAAACGTTTGGCTGGACAAAAATGTAGTTCTTATTAAAAAGATACCCCAGGGACTTATTTATTATTGGTACATTGGGATCTAGCCTTGAGCTTAGCTGCAGTTAAAGTTGAGTTTCAGGTTTAATATCCCTTTAACTAGGCCACCTTGGCCCAAACAAACTATTTTCTACACTGGCAAGTGCTCCCACTGGACACTCTGTATAAACTGTATGTAGCCTCAGTATACAGCCTGGTGTTCCAACAGTGAGACAAGAATGCCTCGTCTCACACCTGGAACAAAATGGAGTCGGAGCAAGCGCTCAGCCATTCATAGGCAGCTTTGTATTTGCTGAATGAATGCAAAGGTTCCTTAGATTGGCTGGGGTGGAGAGGCCAGTGGATGACCGCATCATCCCTAGCTCTGCCAATCAGAGGAAGCCTTGTATTCATTTAGAGAATACAAAGCTGCCTATTGATGTCTTAGTGTTGCTCAGCCTGACTCTATTATGCTCCAGGTTTGAGATGAGAAGTTCTTGTCTAAGTGCCAGAACACAAAGCTGTATACTGTATGTAGCTGAGACTACATACTTTTTATTTATAGATTGGGCCCAGCAGATGCACTTGTCAGCATAGAAAATAGTTTTTTGGGGACAGTAAACCTGGAATTCAACTTTAACCTTATCCAAGCAGTGTTGTAAAGCTGTAAAATGTCAAACCCATGTACTGGTCTATGGAAGTTTAAAACCATTCAAAAGGAGGTGTGTATCGCAGATGAGAAGCGCTTAGTATGAGCAGTGCATGAAAGCTTAAACCTCTTCACATCTTTTATTGTTTTACTGTAGAGGGGTTCAAGAAAGATTTGAATAAATCTTTAAGTAAAGTAGAAAACACATTTAGCAGGTCTTTTGTGCAGATGTTGATTAAAACTTTCTCTGAAAATATTATTTGCTTGGTGCAATGGCTTCAATACAATTTTTTTTTTTTTAATTGGTCAACTTGTAAAAAGATCAACAATGACAGGCTCATTGTAGGTCTCTGTTTAGGGATCATTGAACATAGACCAATGCCACAGATTTGGCTGTATCTTAGTGAGACGCATTCAATTGTAGTCCAGGTATGATAGACCATGATGCTACATAGCTTATTCAGTGATTGCAATAGAAGATACGTAATTTGTATGCCTTAAAACATTTCTAATGGTGGGTAGACCATAATAAATATGTTGCAATATGCCATAACATTGTGGCTGGATGAAAAAGGAGTGTCTGCTTTTGTTGGAACTAACTTACTTCTAAACATTCATGGTGGCTGGACTGAGATGAACTTGTAAGGTCTTGATACTGCTGGGACGTGAATATATAAATTATTAATTTTCCTGACTGTCCACAAGCAAACATTTGTATATAGTCAGTCATGTTTATACTGACCCTAGATTTTCTTGAATACTTTCAGCTAAGAGACAGCAAAATCTGCTTGTTCTCACAAAGCCAATGTGGTTGTAGGTCTATATTGTGCTTTGCTATCATACCATTACCGTGGTCAGTAATTTATGAGTAGGGGTTTTTTATCTTCCTGGATTGGTGGAATATTAATAGCCAACACCGGGACAATATAGTGATAGCCTCTATGCTTCCTCCCAGAGTCAACTGAACTAACAGGTGCTTAGCAAGCCTTGTGACTGTACACAGATTTGGGACTTATCTGCCCATCTTTAAGATCCCACTTCTGTTCTGAGAAGATGATGGGGTGTGACAAGGAATCAGTGTCCACTTCAAAGAAATTCATGTCAGCTTTGAAATCCAACCAGTATGTTTTTATAATGGTAGGAATCCTGCACTAAAAACAGGAAAAATTTACACTCTCCATGAAGACCATATCCAGAGTCTGCCAGTTTTATTTTTTGTTCAAGCTAGAGTTAGGCTTTAAGGGATAAATCTTTACTAATCACTGCACCCGCATGCTTCTTTTTCACCTTTTTTCCTTTTGACTGTTACCAAGTTCCATGTCCGTAACGAATAAGGTAATAAATGTTAACTGATGTGATAGAAGAGAAGGTGAGGGCAGTCCCTTAGCTGCTACCGTTGAAACGACATTCTCAGAAATTGGTACTGAAAGCATCTGTCGTTACAGGACGTTTTTGTACATGAGTGTTAAGGTGGAACTCCAGCTCAAACTTTCATTGGTTTTAGATCAAGTGGAGAATTGTTAAACATGTTTTGCTGTTTGTATCCATTGGAAAGTTCTGTCCTAGAAGGGACAGAAGCTAATAAAACCTGACAGAGGTTCTAATCCTTTCCAGCTATATATCATCTGTGGAAGTGTATCCAAAATTTAAGAACTGGAGTTCAACATTAACTGAATTAATCACATTACTGTACCCTGGAACAGTGAAGGTATCTGTAACTTTGGACTAAACCTTTTGCATGTTGCCAACAAATTTGAACAGTTCCTGATCAGAAGATAATAATGGTGACTGTAAAGGTAAACAAACTATGCACATGGTCAGTGTGTGCTTTAGTATCTTGGGGTGCAGGGCACATTGGCTTTGTGGGTTTCAAAGATAGAAAACAATTGGAACATCACTATTCTACTATCCTTATAAGAATGTTTTATTAAAAAAGGTAAGATTTTATTTGAGCTATATACTATTAACTGCTGTAATAAGCTCATATATGAATCTGGATGTTTTTAATGAAGATAATAATTGTGCACATTTCACTTTTTTTTCCTTTTTTTTTTCATTTGACGTCTATGTAGGAAAAACTTTTTTTTTTTTTCTAATTTCAGTAAAATGGAGAGGGGTTAGACTCTCAAGTTTTTATTGCTGTGTTTTCACTGGGATATTTACCCCTCCATTTGTACTGGTGACCATTACGGAGAAACAAGGAGAGGGGGAAATTGTAGGTTTTTTTAGGAGTGTGTTCCCAGTACAAGAGGTAAGTGGGAATCTTCAAGGAGGGACATCTGTTTCAGAAACAGCTGTCTAAAAGGTAAACTTTCCTCAATTTGGGAGATTAGACTATAATGCATGGATAGTTTTGGTTTTGCATTGAGCATGTACCGTATATACTCGAATATAAGCCAAGGTACCTAATTTTACCACAAAAAAAAACTGGGAAAAACTATTGACTCGAGTATAAGCCGAGGGTGGGAACACCAGTGGGAAGAATCGTGCCTCATCATTGGTGTCAATGGGAGGAATAGCGCCCCATCATTGGTGTCAGTGGGAGGAATAGCGCCCCATCATTGGTGTCAGTGGGAGGAATAGTGCCCCATTATTGGTGTCAGAGGGAGGAGGAATAGTGCCCCATCATTGGTGTCAGTGGGAGGAATAGTGCCCCATCATTGGTGTCAGTGGGGGAATAGTGCCCCATCATTGGTGTCAGTGGGGGGAATAGCGCCCCATCATTGGTGTCAGTGGGGGAATAGCGCCCCATCATTGGTGTCAGCGGGGGAATAGCGCCCCATCATTGGTGTCAGTGGGGGGAATAGCGCCCCATCATTGGTATCAGTGGGGGGAATAGCGCCCCATCATTAGTATCAGTGGGGGGAGTAGCGCCCCATTATTGGTGTCAGTGGGGGAATAGTGCCCCATCTTTGGTGTCAGTGGGGGAATAGTGTCCCATCATTGGTGTCAGTGGGGGGCTGGAGGTCAGTGGAATAGTGCCCCATCGTTTGGTGTCAGGGGGGGCTGGAGGAATAGTGCCCCATCGTTGGTGTCAGTGGGGGGGGAGGAAAAGTCCCCATCGTTGGTGTCAGTGGGGGGGGAGGAAAAGTGTCCCATCGTTGGTGTCAGTGGGGGGGTGGAGGAATAGTATCCCATGATTGGTGTCAGTGGGGGGGGGGGGGAATAGTATCCCATGATTGGTGTCAGTGGGGGGTGGGGGGGGGGGGGGGGGGGGGGGGGGATAGTGCCCCATCATTGGTGTCGGGGGAGGAGGAATAGTGCCCAATCGTTGGTGTCAGTGGGGGGGAGGAAAAGTGCCCCATCGTTGGTGTCAGTGGGAGGAATAATGCCCCATCATTGGTATCAGTGACACCAACGATGGGGCACTATTCTTCCCACTGACACTTGCTGACCCCTGTTCCAGTATGGTGCTGCTGCAGCCAGCATATGTGGTTGCAGCAGCACCTAAGCACGGCACACTTACCTGCATCTCCTTCACTCGATTTTCGCGGGGCCACTCAGCTCCGCCTCCTCGCCGGTGATTGGCCGCCTGTGTGCCTTTCCTGAGCTACAGTTCTGGCGCCAATCACCGGTGAGAAGGCGGAGCCGAGCAGCCGCGCGAACATCCAGTGGACGAACCGAATGAAGGAGCAGCCGCGCTTCCTGGACCGGATCGTCGTGGGACCGGAGCCAGGTAAGAGACAGCAACCCCCTGCCCACCCCTGTACTTACCGTAGTTTCCCTTCTGTTGGAAGGGGGGGGGAGCCATCTGCAGACGTTGACTCGAGTATAAGCCGAGGGGGGCGTTTTTCAGCACAAAAAATGTGCTGAAAAACTCTGCTTATACTCGAGTATATACGGTATGTTTTTCGTTCTTCAATACAGGTAGGAGTCCATTCACACCACGTGCACAGTGGTGTAAATTCAGAAAGCAATCTCTCTTGTTGATCATAACTTGGACTGTAACAATTAGCATTTTGTTACATATATGCACCTTCTGTTTTAGAAATGTAGCTTGATCATATTTTCTTTATGCTTTCAGGTAACTGTTTCCTACCTACAACAAGGTCCACCACTGCTATGTCATTGTATATAAGGACATAATCGGACACTACAAACATCTGTGGATCATTTCTAAAACATTCAGACATATTGGTGGCTGGCCCATCAAGCCTTTATTTTAGATAAAGAATGTTTGATTATAAAAGTGTGTACAAAATCATTTATTTATTAAAATGTACATATTTATATTTTGAAAGATTAAACATATAAATCAAGCATAATTTTCTTTTTACATGTTACAGACACAACGGCTACAGACAACCTGCAGAATAAGTCCTCTTAAAGCATTTGTTTTCTTCAGGGTACATTGGCTTCATAGGGTTCAGGAAAAATGTTATTTTGCTGCAGTAATTTCTGAAGTCTTCCAATTTCTTGCTCCTGCAGAGTAAAATAAGAGGGTTTCAGGTCTGGTAACAGTTGTGAATATTTCAAATACTAAATATTGTGGCAAGTTCCATTAAGTGTTTTGAAGAAATATAGTTGCCAAATTGGATTCAGAATGCTGCATTCTTGTAATGGTAGTTTGATCATCAAAAGAATAATAATCTCCCACTTTACTTTTTTTTTATATTATCGATTATTACTATACAGATCCAACAGCAGTTAGTCACTGTACCAGTTGAGAATCAGTCTGGTCACCTTGGCAGCCTGGTGCACAGGACCTTCAGTACATGCGCAAGCACTGTAGGCTCCTGTATAATTGCCTGGCTATCTGCTTGAGGTTGATGAGAAAAAAGGCATTGGGCTGATTAAGCTGCACTTCTTATTTAATTTAGCTTTGTTGTAGCAGCTATCTTTAACATTGTAATCTAATGTTGGCTATATAACCCATTTAGGCCTCATTAACACGGGTGTACTGATATGTACACCTGTGCAAATGGCTGCCTTCAGCCACCCTGAATGCTCAGGTGTTTTCATACAGGCAGTCTGTAAGCATCCTGGAGCACACATTTGTGTGGGCATAATGCACCGATCATGACGGAGACCGACTGCATTCTGATCCGTGCATTGGAACATTATTGGGGGAGGGGCTGGGCACACAGCAGGGGGACCCAGAAAGAAACGGAATGTTCAGGGATGATCATTGCAGTGGTGGGGGCGGTGACAAGCAGCGATCTCCTGTATGACTTTCAATGAAGCAGCTGGAAGTTGCATCTCCTTCTCTCCCCTCCTACAGCTTTCAACTGCTTCACTGAAAGCCATACAGGAGATCACTGCTTGTCACCGCCCCCACCCCTCCAACACCCCCCAGCCATGGCACTACTCGCCCCCACATTATTTCGACTCACTGAATGCAAGTGTAAATTTTTGAGGGATATAAATAGATGTATATTAACTCAAAAAAGTCCCTTCTATTGCTCTGACTCCTCCAGATTTTTTTTTTTTTTTTCCTGTGATCTAAAATCCTCTTAGAGGGTGGCTGTGTTTGTGCTCCATGGCATGTAGGAATGTAGTCACCCTCCCTTGCTCGTTCTCAAGATGGACTAGAAATTATGGGATTTGCAAACTGCACAGAGCAGTGCACATCTTCAATTACTGTGCACTGCTCATTCCAAACAGAGGTGAGTGAGAATAGGAGAGGTTCAGGAGCTGACAGAGGATGTTGCAGGGAGCAGGAGGCAAGAAATTACTTCATAGAAAAAGATTCATATGACCATTAAGTATTGGATGTGTATGTATATTTGGAGAAAGGAATGTTGTTTAGTGCCACTGTAACATGGTGGTTGTTCACCCAGAATTTTGGGTTGTGACATTAGTTGGATCATATGGCCAGTCTCTGAACCAGGATTACATTGCACAGAAAAGCACCTAGACCCAGACCCTGAAGACCCCTTTTAGGGTATGCTCACTGGGACGGACAAAGCCTGGGCCCTGGCTGGGACCAGCAACATGGACAAAGTTAAACAGGGTTACCCTGTTCCCTTATACATACCTGTTACATGTCTTGATGGTTCTGTGGTAAATATCACATCCTTATTCTACAAGCCATTTACAATGCACAGGTGTAGGGGAATGTACAATCTTACTGGTTTTTCCATAGCTTTTTATTTTTTTTATTATTCAACCTAATGAGAAATGTTCTCATAGCATTTACTTGTTCTTATTTGGTGGTCTTTTCCTTTCTATTAAGCGATTTAGTGCTTTTAAGACTCCTAGCTGTGTACTTCTGACCATAATTTTTCTGGCATCACCACAAGCTGATTGTTTACCACATTACCTGTTTCTGCAGTCAACAGAGACACAGTGACAATTCTGCAGTCAACAGAGACACAGTGACAATCCTCAAGATACTCCAAATTCCTCTCAAGTTGATAATGGTTCCCTCATTCAGGAGCAAGCTCTAACACTGACATTGTTCCAGACCCATTATTCGACTGTATTATGCAACCTGTAGCCACTATGTATGACCTATTCCAGAGGCTATCACCACTTCCAGAATCAGAAGGGGCAATGATCCGCAAGTACTTTTTCTGCCTTGCCTTCCCCTGACTATAATTCTAGCATCAGGCTGGAATTGCCTAACAATATTTTTCCCCATCACAATTTAGGGAAGTTACTTACCCTCTTGCCATATGTTGGCTACTGTACATTGATCAAGACAATGTGTAGTAGTCTTTGGATAGATACACCTAGTAATGCACAGCCCCCATATGTTAAAAAATGCTCAAGAAGGGACCTTTTCTAGAAGTCCCTTTCCTTTTGTGGATCTGGCAAGTTAAGATATACAATAATTGAACTGGCCAAAATGGTTTGTCGCATGTGGACTTGGCCATTTTTGCACTGAATGCTCAGTCTACCAGTTCTTTAAAGATTCAGTACATAGGTGTTTGGAGCCTCTTCTAAATAAAAAAAAAAATTTAAAAAAAATCATTTTGCGCTGGCAAGCCCTGCCCAACAGCTGGCCTCTGTCAACTTAGCGGCTGCCTGAACTATGGCTACCTGGGCTGCAGAAATTTAGTAGAAAAAAGTAAATAAACATAATCTTTAGCTCTTGCTCACTGCCCTAATTTTTTTGTGTGGAGGCCATGCAGAATGTGATCCATCAGATCTCCAGAATGTCTTCACTTTTTGTGCATGTGCACAGAATAATATGACTTAAACATTGGGTGACTGATTTGGAGCAGGATGCCTTTTGCACATACCTTTTGAGAGCAAACTTCTCTTTGGCAATTCCCTTGAGGAACACAATGAGGTAGCTATTGAGGGGAGAGGGTGCAGACCCCATTATCCAAATTCAAAATTCCCTTTGGGATGTGTATTCCCTACTTTCCAGATTAAATCTGTTTGGCCTCCCCTGCCCCAAGCACAATCATAATCTACTGCAATCTTTATGATTGTAGAAAACATTCCCCCACCCCCATGGAAGCCTTCCTTGTGCTATAGGTTCAGTCCAGGTATGGAAGCAAGGGTTGGTCTGTTGGCACTTACCCCAGCTTAAAGTGGCTCTACAGGGTCAAGATCTTTTTACCTTCATGTATTCATGCATGTGTGAAGCCTTGGCTCTGTGTCTTATGGACACATAGAGCAGCAGTTCAGGGACAAGCACGCAGCGATGCCCCCGCAGCAAACTGCTTTTCCTGGGGACACTGCTTGGGGGGGGGGGGGGGGGGGGGGGGGGGGGGGGGGGGGGGGGGGGGGGGGGGGGGGGGGGAAGCCAGCAGGGACTCAAAAAGAAGAGAATCTGGGCTGCTCTGTGCAAAATCACTGCACAGAGCAGGTAAGCATAGACATGTTTTGTTATTTAAAAAAAAAAAAAAAATGAAGCTTTAGTATCACTTTAAGAAAGACGTCTGGATCAGTCCTTCATTCTTTTACAGGAGGTGCACAAATTAATTTTAATTGTCAGCCTCTTATTTCTTATCCATTTCTACTCACTGCTTCAGAAAGAATGTTTCCCTCACCCCATTTTCATTTTATCATTACAATGGGTGTTTGTCTCCTTTCCTAATCAGGAAAAAAAATAAAAAATAAGACAGTTGCGCCAACTTCTACACAGGACCCTCTGTTCTTGAAGGCTATACATACTACAATGAATTGGTATGAACCAATTCAGGAATCCAGCTCCCAAGAGGTCTACTTTGACTTATCCATTCATCATAACCTATAGTTATGCAAAAACATTTGTACAGCTGCAGCTAAAACCATAATGTCAGGAAATGTATCTCCTTCTAATGAAAACAGCCTGAGGGGTTATACTCCCTCCTGTTCATGCATTGCTGTAAGTACTTTCTTACTAACCAGATTAGATTTTTTTTTTTTTTTTTTTTTTTTTTTTTTTTTTTTTTTTTTTCCCTCTACATCATTTGTTTTTATAGAGCTGGATTATTTGAGTTCTTCCACAAGCCCTGGCATAACTAGGGGATCCATAGGAGACATGGCCATATGCCTCCAAAATCTGAATTCCGTCAGCAGGTACCTGACAGCTACTGCTCTCAATACTCCCTTAAGTCCGGGTTCCAAGGTCTTTCCTGACACTTTCCTTCAGCAATAATTTGTGGCCTTCTTGTTGACATATTATACAGGTTCTCCTTGAAACAGCCCAGAGACAGTTTCACAACTTCGAGCCTCTGCTACTTTGTTTTGCCATGGCATGTTTTTGCTGGCTTCAGGCCTTGTCCTGATCCACAACGCTCCATTCCCTACCCCCTTTAGGGCTGTAAATCACCAACATGCATGTTTCTGAGTTAGGGCACTTATCCTGCTGTTCTTAGGTTTTTGACCCTGGTGCTGGGTGAATTGCCCAGTTTTGTATTGGGTGAAGATGCCACCCCCTGTTTCCAGAATTTCAAGTGCTCCACTTTCCTTTCCACCTGCTGTATTGGCGCTTCAGCACTTACGTGCCCTGCACAGCTTTCTTTACTTAGCCTATGCAACAGTCTACCTAGGTTACTTCCAAATATCCCTACTTTCTGGATATTCCCTATGTTGGCATGTTCCATCCCTTGCATTTGATGCCCCATTGCATCTTCATTCAGGCAGGTTGATTTGCCTCCTGCTCTGTAGTTTCAACTAGTCTGATAGGAAACCTAATCCTGAGTTCCCCACATGTCAAGTACATCCTGTCATCGCCGGTGACCTTGCAACACCTATGCAACTTTCTACTGAAGAAGGCGCCTCCTTATCACCTGTTGAGACTCATGCAGTTCCTTGTATCCAAGCTGAGCCCTATCTTTCTGAATAAAAGGGTTCCTTAGAGGAACAGATCCTGCTTCTGTTCCCACCAGCAACAGTGTTTTTTTTTGTTTTTTTTTTTTTTGTTTACCTTGGATTTTTTCTTCCCTCTTACATTTGGAGACAGGGTATCCTACAAGCTGGTTTCCCAAGTGCTTCTATGAAGCTGCTTATTGTCCTTGAAAACTTACATTCTTCTCCACTATGTCCTGGCAGGAGCTTGACATTTAGTTTTTAGCTCCCCTCAGGAGTCCAGCATGAATATTGATGAGTAAATTATGTAAGTATGTAACTGGGGTGTTTGTTGTATGTGATTTGAGTGGCTATGGTTTGTGAAGAAGTGTAGTGTATGGGACAAATACATTTTAATTAATAATTATATGGTATGTAACTGTGATGTTTGTTGTATGATTTGGGCAGCTATATGTGTTGCAGTGGATGGGACTAAAACTAGATTTCCTTTCATGATTATTATTGAATGACTTTTTTTTTTTTTAATCATTTTAAGTTAGTCACATGACCAGTAAGTGGAATAGTACCTGCTGGGAACACTGTTGTTCCAACTCGGATACTCTGGCCAATAGAGTCTCCTGCTTTTCCTTTAACTTGTGGATCTTCTCTTCTGCTCGACTTTTCACAGATAAAATGACACCTTTAAAAAAGGAAATAAATATGTAATATTTATAAATGAATGCATATGTGCTGTGAGCTGAAGTATCTGGCTATCAAAAAAAGACAACACGGGTTCACACCTCCGCCAAAAAGATATTCTCTGTGATAATTTGTAGTCCTCCATACACCTGCCTTTTGGTGTATACCAATCCTTCCCATAGCTGGCATCGTTGGCACAGCTTATAGTTCAACCATCTGGTTACAGAAGAGCCATGTCATGATTTCTCTAATGTGGTTCTAAATTAAATATTTGTTACCATATACATAATGCTGATGACACAGAGGGGTTTATTTACTAAAGCTGGAGAGTCCAAAATCAGACTCCCTTCTGCATAGAAACCAATCGGCTTCTAACCTCATCTTGTTCAATGAAGCTTTGGCAATGAAACCTGGAAGCTGATTGGTTTCTATGCAGAAGGGAGTCTGATTTTGGACTCTCCAGCTTTAGTAAATAAACCCCAAAATGTTCAGCTTTGTTACCACTTTTCTGCAGCACAGATTTTCTTTATAATGCAGAGTGCTAATTAATGGGTACCATTCCTGTGCATGTTTGTTGTTCTTGGACTAATGTTTCCTAAACATGTCCCCAATTCTTGAAAGAGGGCTTGTTTGTAGGTAAGCTGACATAGGATACGTACAGCTAAAATTGTAAATGTCCCAGCAATCAATTTAGCTACTTGTGTGGAATTCCCCAACACCTGAATTATTGGGCTAAGGAAACAGATGTTTAGAATGCTTTGTTGTATGCCTCCTTAAAAGGAAATGTACTGTATAATTATTTTCAAGTTTTCTTTTTAAGATACAAACATAAAAGCTCAGTTTGGTTTACAAATAACTGAAATATATTAAGTGGGTTAGGGATCTTATTATCATCATGTATTATTTGTTATGACAAATATTTACCAGGGCAGCTATATTGGCTCATTACATACTCCTGCTTGGCCTTTTGCTGTGCAGTGCAACATATGTACTGTTCCTTCTGACAATGCAAACGTTTTGCAGATGCTAATCTACCTAGCCTATAGTGGACAATATATAACATGCACACAATATACAGTATTTAATCCAATAACAATAATATAAAAAAGGAACAAACATCATGCCGTATCAAAAGCAAAATATGTTCTTGCTGAAATTACTTTATACATTTTAGTATAGGCGTCAATGCTTTTTTATTCACTTCAGACTGGTTTTGCATGATTATACAAGTCTGTGGGAATGCAAAGCTACTTGAAGCAGGTCAACTGAAAATTTAATGCACCTGCTAATGAATTCTGAATGATCTTAGAAGTGTCTCAAACTGATGGCATTGCCACAGGTCTTAAAGAATAAGTTCACCTTAACAAACAAAATAAATAATAATACATCTATTTCTTTTACCTGCACAAAATTATTTTTTTTGCTGTAGCTTGTAAAGTATTGCACCCCATCTGCCGTACCTCTGTTTATAGAAAATTCCCACTTGTACTATGTTTTAACATGTGAGCAGAAGGATTCTAGGCTCAAAATTTGCTCCCCCCTGTAGATTTTCAATATATCTAGTCATTGTGAAAACCTTGCCTAGAGCACCTGCTTCAATGCTGCATACATCAACATATCATTATGTCTAGACTTAATTGGAACAATTCTGTTAGAATATATAGATAGATAGATAGATATACACACACCTACTATCTCAGGAAAGCAGGGGGAATAGCAGAATCACCAGCTTTGCTGCATTATTATTGGTTTCTTCTATTTCAAACTGACCATGCTAGGCAAGAGCATATCTACCTCAGTCTGGTCAATTTTCTTGCTGAGCTGGAAGCACAAACTGCATATCTTCCAATGATCAGACTTATGCTGGCTGACCAACACACCCCCCCCCCCCAGCCATTCACTGTGAAGATCAGTGTGCTGCTGTTTCTCCACCCCCTGCTCTCTTAAGTCCCTTTTGGAGCTGAGAACACAGTTCATGTGATCAATGAAAAAAGTAAAAAAAATGTATTATATATACTGTATATACATAGAAAATGAAAGGCAAAATATTTCATGTGTTTATTTTAAACTGAATGGGTTGTTTAACAAGGTGGGAGTTTACCTACTTTAAAAACATAACTTATAAAAAAAATAGATTATGTATTTACCATTCACAATTCTGGCCACCCTCCACAACCGGAGTAAAATGAGTAGCCCAACTGCACTGAATACATCTTCCCGGGTTATGTAGACGACATCAATGATAAACGATATAATAACAATGACTGCATCAAAAACTTCAAACTTATGGTGGAAGAACTCAAGCCGAAAAGCGTACAGTTTACCCGCAATTTCCAACAAGAAGAAGGACAAGACAGAAATGCTCAAGTAGTGAAAGATCTACAAGGAAAAAAAATAGCATCAATTTGTTAATGGACACTGAACAGATAACCTGTTGATATATGGAAAAATCTAATCTAATCAGAAATTGAAGATACTTTTTAATATTATGGACAGCCTTAAGGCACCACATTCTAAAATATTCTAATAGTTTTACATAATACAGAAATATCCACACATGTACCCAATGTTAGAGGTGATTTATTCATCCAAATCAAATATACGTTTGCACACTGGTACTGATTGTATGCTAGTGTTTCTCTTCTCCCTAAGTTTTTCTCCATCAGTCAGCTAATATGATCTCAGTGTTGATGGAGAGAGGCAGGGGAAGGTCAAACAAGGTTGCTGTGCAGACGACCAACATCGTCCTTATCAATTGATGATATCATTGGTTTATGGGATGCGGACGGCTAGAAGGACATAATGAAAACCTGTGGCTTTGTGTAACTAAAAGGCAGGCTTGATACACCTCTGGCTTATATACAATTTTGGGCAATATTTTTTTTGACATTTTGTCAAGGCACCCTGGTTGAAAAAGGCTGCTGTAACCTATTGTGATTAATAGGTTACATCATTACTTTGTAACCAAAAGAATAGAGGCTTAAAGAGTAGTTGGTATCGCTTCAAGTACAAAGTTTGCCCAATAACCAAGAAAGCCTACAACAAAAAGATTGTGAATCAAAAATTCACAAAAAAAAGTGGTTGCATAAAAGGACAAATGCGATAATCATAGTAATGAAAATGCTTTATTGGCAAAATTGCACATGTAAGACAATTGAGTAAAGACTGCAAGTTGCCATCACCTCAATTTAAGACAATACACTGAACAACCTTAAAACCAAAAAAGAAAAAAAAGACATAATTTGTTACATCATTACTTTGCACTATTTAAAATAATCCCAAACATGAATGGTAATCAAAAATAAGTGGTGACGAGATGAAATAAATCTGTGTAACGTTAGTTTGTTTTCTGAAAGCTGTAGATGGATTTACAGCACAACTAAACCCTCCAGCAATAGGGCATTCTACCCAATGAACAGGATTGTGGCTTTAAAAAAAGAAAAAGAAAAAGCTAACAATTATTAATTCCTTTGCTTTTCAGTGCTGTGCACAGTGCTGCATCTTTATATAACTTCTGAGTAGAATGTACAATTACAGATCAAGATGTCTATTTTGGGTGTATTTATATTACTTGTTACCTGTTATCCCAAGATGAATTTTTATGTCCAGCATACAACAGTATAAACAAGCATTTAGTGGTGCATGTCTTTCCATACACAATATACTAATAAAAAAGAGCATACTTACAAAACACCACCCTGTATAAAAAGTAAGCACCAGCCACAATTAAATTATCCAAAATATTCTATTCCATGTGCAATCAACAGATTTCACAACACACTAAAATCATATTATAAGCAACCATTACACTTGCCAAAAATAATCAGAATACAGTCGCTCCTGGCAGAGAAGAGACGTTTTCCATTGAAGCAACAAAAACCTGGGAAAATTAATTACATTTCTTAAAACAATGTACCGTGTGACATAAAATTGGAAAATACCTAGCAGCTAATAGAATATGCCCAGAAAAATGTTCCCACACTGAAAAAAAAATACCAAAAAAAAAAACCCTTTTTAGGGATAAAATACATCTATTACAATTCAATCATCAAAACAAAGTGAAAAAGTATAATAGGATTAGGAAATAAACCTGTTTATTCCAATAAAGGTGTGTGATTTTAATGCGTTTATTGAATTAGTCTATCAACTGCATATGGAATAGAATATTTGCAAAACAATTCAATTGTGACTCATAATTTTAGACATGCAAGGTTGACTTGTTTTTTTATGATAAACAATATGGGCCTCTTTTTTTTTTTGTGTTTTTTATCTTTGCCCTTTCCCTGCGCAGCCTCCTCTATCTTTTCATAGCTGCCCTCCACATTGTCCTTACCTCTGGTATAATATGATCAACTTTATCCGCTAACAGTTCCAAGTCGAGAAGGACTTCAATTAGCACAAATAAGGCATCCAGAATGACGAGGCACACAATGACTATCTGTAAAGACAGGGCAGCAATATTTGGTAACATTTTTTCCATATGTACAGTTATTATTACATAAAGTTTATATAGCGCCAAAGGGTTTGCTCAGCGCTGTACAATAGAGGGGGGCGACAATACATGAAACAGTACAGCAACTACAGACAGCACACGAGGGTTAGAGGGCCCTACTCTTTCGAGCTCACAGTTCAGTCTCATTAATACTATGAAGGAGTAACAAAGAAATACTATGAGAAAGATGCCAGAGAAGAGTTTTGATTTTACCTTGCCCCTCACATTTTACCTGCATTTGCAAATAAATCCATCACTGTGACTTGCTAAAGGAAGGCTAAACCATCTCTCTATAACCCTCTGAAAGATAAGTGAATGTAGGTCTGGACATTTGGACAGACAATGGTCAATCTAACTTTTGTAGTCAAAAACATGTTCTTAATTAACCTCTTGGCCTCCTGAGGATTTACCCCCCTTCCTGACCAGGCCATTTTTTGTGTTACGGTACTACGTTACTTTAACTGACAATTGCGCCCAAATAAAATTTAGGTCTTTTTTTCCCATGAATTGAACTCTCTTTCAGTGGTATTTGATTGTCTGTGCATTTACTTTTTGCGATTTAAAAAAAAAAAAAAAAAAAAACAAAAAAAACACAATTTTGAGAAAAAAAAAATATTTTTGACTTTTTGCTATTAAACATGTCCAGTAAAAAAAAATGTAAAAATCAAATTTTGTCATAAATGTAGGCCAAAATGTATTCTGCTACATATCTTTGCTAAAAAAAAAAAAATCCCAAAAAGTGTAAATTAATTGGCTTACGTGAAAGTTATAGTATTTACAAATAGATATAGATACTGGAATTTTTTTTTTTCTTACTAGTAATGGGGTGATCAGAAACTTATAGCAGGACTACGGCGGGCATTTTGACACTGGGGGGGAAAGGACTTGGTGTCACTGACATCAGTGTGCTAAAAAAAAAAAAAAAAAAAAAAAAGCGCCAACACTGTACTAATGTCACTGGGCAGGAAGGGGTTAACATGAGGGGCGATCAAAGGGTTAACTGTGTGCTGGGAGTGTTTTAATGGGGGGCGGGGTCAGTGCTCTTCACTGTAAGCACACTGCTCTGGATGGCTGTGCTGTGCACAGCTATCCAGAGCAGTGTAACCAAGGCGACCGGGAGGAGGGCTGGTAATAAACAAAGCAGTCCTCCTCCCCGTCGGTGATGCTCGGTAATCACCGGCCGGGACCCAGTGACTGACAGCCGCGAATGGCGGTGCGGGTAGGGCTCGTGTGCCCCCTAACCAGAAATACAAAATCACATATACACACACATGATTTTGCGCATCCCCGCTGCCCTGTAGCAGTATATCTGCTATAGGGAGGTTGGGATGTGGTTAAGGCAGTCAATACAGTAGAACACATTAAACATTAGGCCTGTGGGCTAAAACTGGCCAACAAGGCTATTTCATGTGGCCCTCGCACCTCTCCTGCAGCTGTGATACCCCTCTTGTCTCTGCCCACTCCTTGTCTCAGCAATCAGCAGCAGAGAGGAGGACAGAACCCATCCGCCAGATCCTGAGTTTCTCAGTGCAGCAAAGGAGTGGCTCCTCTTTTGGGAAGGTCTACTGCGTCCCCTGCCAGCAGTGACCTCTGGCTTCTTGACCCCAGTACACTACCCTGCTGACGCCTGTAGACTGCAAAGCAGGGAGAAGAAACAAAGATTTTTAGTAAAAAGCAGCACACATTACACACAACACTTGTTAGGCACACATTTAACCCCTTGATTAACCCGTGTCACCGTTTATGTCATTGTCAGATTGTCCGCCGCACTATCACAGTCCCAATCAGGGGCGGACTGACAACTCATGGGGCCCCCGGGCAATAGGGGATCATGGGGCCCCTGTGTCCTTGCCCAAACTCAAAAAAGCCTATGAAAAAAGGTACCAGGGGCATTTCATGGGGCCCCCTACTGACCCCGGGCCCTCAGGTAGTGCCCAAGTTTCCAAATGGTCAGTCTGCCCCTGGTCCCACTATAATTTGCTGATCACCACCATTACTAGTATAACATAAAAAAATAAAAATTCCAGTATATATACACACACCATAGTTTGTAGATGCAAACCAATACACTTATTGGGATTTTTTTTTTAACCAAAAATATGTAACAGAATACATTTTGGCTAAATTTATGAAGATTTTTTAAAATGTTTTATAGCAAAAAGTAAAAAATATTGTCTTTTTTCCCATATTTTCAGTCTTCTTTTGTTTATAGAATAAAAAAAAAAAAAAAAAAAAAAAAAACAAACAATGGTGATCGTGTGGGTGCAGCGTTACATGATTGCACAATTACCAGTTAAAAAAGTAGTACAGTGCTAAATAGCAAAAAATGGTCTGGTCATGAAGGGGGTAAAACCTTCCAGAGCTCATGTTTAAACTTGTCCACAGTGTCCTCCACACTCTCCATGCATCAAATACAGTAACTTTATTTAAAAAAGCGCTTCACTCTAGTTAAAGTACTGATATTTGATGCAACACAAAAAAGAAAAAAAAAAAAAACACTTTTCTAGAATATAATAAATTAGCTACATTGTGTCACATTTCCCTAAGGGTTCGTTTGCACCGTAACCAGGGACCTGCGTTTTCCTGCACTGGGGACACAGTCACTGCAAGCACACATCCAAAACTGGATTTCTATGTGCCTTGTTCATACCATGTGCAGTGCACTGAGTTGTGTTTACACATGTATGCATTTTAAACCAACACAACATAAATAATGTAAACACAATGAAACTAAAGTTAAAAAAAAGTGTCTTTTTTTTATACTTTTTTCCTCCCAACCCACAACAGGATCTGGGAATTATGTAACATGAAATAGGTCTGCAAAATGGTCATCAATGGATTAACATTAAAATACATGCCAACACTTTAATACCAAACAACATGCTTAAAAATACAATGCACATAAAAAATGCCTGCAAATGTGCAGTACTGAACATACATTTTTATAGGAAGTATGTTGTGAAAGGACCTTAACTGTTAAAAGCTCTGCTGACTATGATCACATGCTAGAAAATCTCCAGAAATTCATCCTTGATTATTTACACATGCAGTATAATACTGGGGCCCTTCCACTGATGGAAAACTAAAGAAATGATGTATGATGAAGCATAAAGATCTCACCTGAAACTTGTGGCAACTAAAAAGCCATTTTAGGGCATCCCGGAAAGTGTAGGAGGACGTAAATGGATGAGGTGTCTGTTCGGTTTTTTCTTCTGGTTCCTGCTGCTTTTCCTCGTCTTCTTTCCATTGGTTATCATTATGGATGTCACCAACAGAGGTGAAATGCTTCAGGTACCTGGACATCTTGTGCTCTGGTTATATACACATCACTCTGTACCACAGGACAGAAGACAGCAGATATACCAATCAAGTGTTTGTTTCCTATATTACTTGCCTTCTTACACAAGTCTATTGCATATACATTCTTCCTCATTCCTAGTAATTGCACCATTATTTGTTCCCTTTTCTCTTTACATTTAGGTCCATGGGTGAATAACAAATTAATTCAACATATAATACTCATTCTAGATGTGACAACAGAGCACACATTCCAGAACAGCAGAATTCAGTTTACTATACAGGACTGAAAATGACATATTAATGACAGCAGTGCTCTATGACTGCTGAATTCCTTAGACACTACATAAGCCAAGGCTACAACACAGAGAGACTAGGCAATGCATAAAAGGTAAAGGGTGGGGGGGGGGGGGGGTCAAGGAATTGGAAAAATAGCCAACTTTCGCTAGTAAAGTGATTCCAAACCCCTTCACCAGTATTTATTATCTATTACCCTACCAGGCCAATTCTAACATTTCTCTCCTACAAGTAAAATCGTCATTTTTTACTTCGAACACCAAAACATTGTATTTTTTTTTTTTTAAGCAGAGGCCCTAGAGCAGGGGTGTCAAACTCCATTTCATTGCGGGCTGTATCAGCATTATGGTTGCCTTCAAAGGGCTTGTTGTTTCTGTAAGGCCCGATTGTTGTCTTATTATAATGATCCTTCATATCAAGCATGGAGATCCAGCACTTCTCCGGATGACCAGGGTGTATTTATATATGTACTATTCCCGCAGCAACCAATAGTCCTTTTCCAGAGAGATGCATTTATTCGGATAAAGATATTTGTTACAGATTACATAAATTCAGTTGAATATTTGTAAAGATTACAACGAACAACAGCTCTCAAAGTCCCATTTAAGATACTTCATATCAAGCATAGAGATACTACACCATCCAGCATATGTCCAATCTATAATATACAACTAGGTAGCTTCCATGCAACCTGTGTTCTGTCCCACATATCCTGACCTGTGCTCTGTCCCATGTATTCTCCCTTGTGCTCTGCCCAGGTATCCTCACCTGTGCTCTGCTATCTTTGTATTCCTTCCTGTGTTCTGTGTCCTGTGTTAATATACACATTTTCCCCATTCAGTACAATGGCAAGCACTCTGATTGGCCACTTTTATTAGCTTGTTTGATCTTATGTGTCTAATAGCTTTTAATTAAAAAGTTAAATAGATACTACTTGTCTTGTTTATGGCAAATCTTCTCTCTTCACCATAAACAAGCACATAATGAATATTTAAGACTTTTCCCAATCTCTTTGCAACTAACCTGTTCTTAAACTTCCCCTGACACTCCATATATTTACCCAAAACAGGTTAACCCCACACAACAAAGGTAAGGTAATTACCTCCTGCATACATTAACATAGTAAGGAGTCCTTTTGGTGTGTAAAGTGGTCTTATCACTGGCTTATCTAAAAATGAACAGTATGTGTTTCAATGTCTACAATATATATATATTACACACAATACACTACACTGATGTCCAAAGCACCTCCCCTTACATCAGATGTCAAGAATCCCACACCCTCCCTAACATCACCGTGCACCACATTGGGGGCAGAGCTGGAAAGCAGAAAGTGCAGGGTCTGGAGGAGGACCAGAGGAGGATTTCAGTCAGTTACCAGAGTTTGCTGAATGCTGAGACCAGGGGAGGCAGAGATGAGGGGTGCTGCAGCTGCACGGAGAGGTGCAGGATTTGGCCGAGGAGTTCTATTCTCCTCTTTGCTGCCGACTGCTGAGACAAGGTGGGGGCGGAGACAAGGGGGTACCTGCAGGAGAGGTGCAAGGGCTACATGAAATGGCCTGGAGGGCCGGATTCAGCCCGAGGGCCTTGTGTTTGGCACCTGTGCCCTAGAGAATAAAATGGTGGGTTTTTGCAATTTTTTATGCCACACGGTATTTCCGCAGCAGCTCTTTAACCATTAGCCGCCCGGCCAATGGCCGTTTGGCGGCTTCAAATGTGCTCCTGTATTCCGGGTGCACGCCATTTGGCGTGCTCCCGCACATGCGCGGTTGCAGAGCGACGCAGCAGTGCGATCTGTCACCGCCCGTGCACCTCGGACACGGCCGATGACAGATCCGAGTACCGGCTCCCGTTGCCGGTACCATGTGACCTGCTGTGACCAATCACAGCAGGTCACATGACAGTTGTATACAATGGATGGCTTCATTCATGATGCCATCCATTGTATACTAGTGCCTAGCTGTGAATGGCCACAGCTAATCACATGCACATGTCATGTGATTAGCCGTGACCAAATCACAACTAAGCACAAAAAAAAAAAAAAAAAAAAAAAAAAAAAAAAGCTGAATGAATCGATTTCATTCAGGTAAATGCTTGCTTATAGCAAAGTAATTCTTTGCTATAAGCAAATTGTGTAAAAAAAAAAAAAAAAATACTGATCACTTCCCCAAAGTAGTACAATGTTACTATGGTAACATTGTACTATTTTGGTCATAGTAAAATATAAAAAAAAAAAAAAATCTTAAAAAAAAATATAATAAAAAATTAAATATAATAAAAAAATTAAAAAATTGTATATATATATTTTTTTTTTTTTTTTCATACAATGTCACCAGTCAGTGTCGCTGTTCACCGCCATGCCAGTTATATGATGACGCTGTACTGCACTGGTGACAGTATGTAAAAAAAAAAAAAAAAAAAAATAGTGAATAATAATTTTAATTTTTTCATTTTCCGAAAAATTATGACAAAAAAATACAACTTCAAAAAACTCGCCATGCCTCTTATGAAGTATGTTGGACTGTCTACTCTGCAAAAAGGGGTCATTTGGGGGATATCTGTACTGTTCTGACATTCTTGGACCTCAAGAAATTAGATTGGCTGTCAGTACTTCAGGATTGATCAATATTCAGATCTATACCATAGTTTGTGAACTCTATAACCTTCCTACAAACTAAAAAATACATCCTAATTTGGGTTATTTTCACCAAAGACATGTAGCAGAATACATCTCGGCCTAAATTTATGAAGAACAATTATTTATTTGTAAACTTTTATAACAGAAACAAAGAAAAATGTGTTTTTTTTTTCCAAAATTTTTGGTCTTTTTTTGTTAATTTAGCAAAAAATAAAAACCCCAGCGGTGATTAAATACCACCAAAAGAAAGCTCTAGTTGTGTGAAGAAAATGATAAAATTTTAGTTTGGGTACAATGTTGTATGACCGCGCAATTGTCATTCAAAGTGTGAGAGCGCTGAAACCTGAAAAATGGCCTGGGCAGGAAGGGCGTAAAATTGCCCGGTATTGAAACGGTTAGTGTATTTTTACCAGAAAAATTGCTTTTAATGAATTTTAGTGTGCACAGATACAATAGAATACCAATTTTTCAGGTAAAATATAAAATATGATGTTACGCCAGGTAAATAGATACCTCCCATGTCACGCTTTAAAATTGCGTACGCCCGTGGAAAAGCACCAAACTATGGAAACCTAACAATATCCGTAGGTGATGCTTTAAAAGCCTGTACAGGTTACCAGTTTAGCATTACCCAGAAGGTCTGGTACTAGGATTATTGCTCTCAGTCTGACCTTCATGGTGATCTCACATGTGTGATGCAAACACAGTTTACATATGCGTGTGGGAATTACATATGTATTTGCAAGCACGGGGTGGTGCTGCTTTAAAGTTTTTTTTTATTTTTTTTATTTATTTTTTTTACATAGTCACTATAATTTTTTTTTTTTTAATTACTTTTATTGCTATCACTAAACATTCCTTGTGATAGCATGGGCAGTGACAGGTCCTCTTGAGACATCTGGGGTCTATTAGACCCCAGTCTCTCCTTTGCCCCTAAAAAGCATCTGCTCCAAGCAATATTGGTTTGATCAGACGCTTCCACAAATCAGTAATGGCTTGTTTACATCCTGGCAAAATCGGAAGGGACAAAAAAACTTGTTGCTTCAAATTTTTTTTAGACCATAGAGGATACCATCCCCTCTAGGAGACCATGGTCAGGATGTTGCAGACCTCAGTCATCTCAATGGTAAGCCGGCAGAACTATCAACTTAGGACCCGGGCTCCCTGGTCGGATGAGAGAGCTCAGAAACGTGGAGGAAGGAGGTGGTGGGGCCCTTCTGCTGCATGTACACCAATCCAGGGACTAATTTATCCTATGGCTGGAAAGTGGTTAAGGAAGCCTCAGCAACTGTGCATACCCACTTACACCATGCTACTCGCGCTCACAGAAAACCGCACATTTTCTCAATGGATGCAAAGCATTCTCTGCATTCCCTAATTGGATGAGTTGGAGATTGTCAAGTCCCTGCCCCACCCCTCCACCTCATTTAAACAGAGAATGCTTTCATTCACTGACAAAATACAAGGCATTTTGTGAATGGCACCTGTACCAAGCAAGCTACCACGGTGTCCAATATGTAGAAGGGTAGCCACTAGGCACATGATCCGAAAGACTGCTAGGATCACTGTAGTAGTGGTGGCTACTACAATGGTTCTCCACTTGCACAAGGAGGGTATGGAAAATGAATACTTGCACTTATCCAAGTTGGACCAATGTAATTATGCAAAATTATCCAAACCTAGGAATCAGTTTTAATAAAAGGAAATAAAACCCAAATGCACACAATCTATTTTAAGCAAAACTGCACATCGAAATTCATCTTGCACTTTTGCTAAACTACCCATCTACAGTTGCAAGAAAAAGTATGTGAACCCCTTGGAATTATGTGGAGTTTTGCAAGAATTGGGCATAAAATGTGCTCTGAATGTCATCTAAGTCACAACAATAGAAGAACACAGTCTGCTGAACATAATATTACACAATCATTAGATGTTGCCATGGTTTAATTGCACATAACATGTAAACATTCACAGTGCAGGGAGGAAAAAGTATGTGAACCTTTGGATTTAATAACTGGTTGACCCTCCTTTGGCAGCAATAACCTCAACCAAACGTTTCCTGTAGTTGCAG